TGCTGATTGCAGAAAGTTATTCTTTTGGTAGATCTTATTGTTAGTTTCAACTGAAAAATTCCTGGTTCTGTTTTTCTGCATTCTCGTTATGGTAGCACATTGAACTCAAAGTTGCAAACCAGATAATGTAACATCTTTTAAAGTATATATATTCACACTCCTATACCACAATTGTATAGATACACATACAGAGAGAAGAAGACACACCTGCAAGGTTTTCTTGAAGCCATTTGGAATTCTTTGGCAGATGGCTATCCCACCACCAAGAATATGAACGCCGGGACTCAGAATGAGACAAGGTTGCCATGACTCCAGCAAAGAATAACGACACAAATAGTTTTGATTTGCCAAAAGCCTAATATTGGATCTTTGCTGGATTATAAGATCATATAATTCCCACCCCCAGCGACTTTCTAATTTGAGACCCTTCAGGACCGTTCAACAGTTTGTATGCCTATCATCAAATAAACGTCAACATAAGTAAATTTGATAGGGATTGCTCCAGATTCATCAAAAGTCCAACTTATTTACATGAAAGCTGCAAACTCTTTCCATTCTATATTACCTGCCAAATTGGATACAGCTTTAGTTGATCAGCGAAGGGAGCGTCTTGTTTCAGGTGTTCAGGCAATTTGATATCGGGGAGGACTGCCGCAGAGAAAGGAACAAGAAAGAGTAAACACGAGGCTAACAGAATAGCATGGACTGTGAAATGCGTAGCAGAAGCATATCAATCCTTCATCATACTCAATTGTATCAGATAAAAAAAAGGTACTTATTAAAGCAAAAAAAGGTTCCTAAATCCGAGCACAGATACAATAGACATTTTCTATATTTGGTATGGATAGAATTGATGAAGAATTTGTCCTCAAGCAAGAGCAATTTCCATGATGAACAAATACACTCACAAAGACCAACAAAATGAAAGAGCAGAGAAAATATGCAAGAAGACTATAAGGTAGGAGGATCCTATGAAAATTGATCGATGATCATGAAGAGTAAAAGGAGAAAAGAGAAATAGGCAGTAAAAGTTACAGTACAGGCACGGGAAAGAAAGGGTACATCAAAAGGTAGTGATGATGAGCAAAAGCGTGTATGAGATCAAGTGGTTACCAAGCGAATGAACTTGATTGAGTACTAATTTAAGGAACAAAATAGCATCAAACCAAGCAAATGGGTGTCTACAGAAACGTAGAAAGTATGGTGCTTTGGAGCAACTGGGATGAAGCACAGGCAAGAGGGATGAAATCTGAGAATTGGATCTTCATGAGCAGCTGTGATGCTGAAAACAGAACCCCCAGCAGCTGCAAAACTTCCATCTCACCCCATTTTTCTCAATCTGGAAGACACAAAGTGGCAATCTTTGAAGTGGGGTATTGGCAATATAGAATTGTGTCGTGTCGGCTTGACACATATGACTCATCAACTGTAAAAAGGAGAATGGACACGGACGGAGGAGGGAAAAGTACCGAGTGTTGTGGTTTAGAATATAATAATCTTGTTTTGGAGAGATTATTATAATAATTAGCGTTACAGTATCCTCTAAGGAAAGGATGCGTGCGAATGCATAGCAACAACACTCCACCATTTCAACAAACGTTAATGGGATCCAAAATCATGATTATGTTTTAATCACTGCAATTAAACATTAACAAACGGTCGTATTCTTCAGGTCTCTGCTCCGTCAAAAAGTCGTGGATTGCATTATTAGTTTCAAAAATGTGAAACCAAAAACACTGCTCATGTTTTGCAAATGTCCATTCTCACTCGTTTATATCGCTCATCATCCCCGGGAATCAAGGGATTTCTTTTTCAAAAAGAAACCCATTTTCTCAAATCCAAATGATGAAATGAAAAATCTAGTATTTTTATTAAAGCTAATAAATTGAAGTGTTGAGAAATGTAAATTTTGTAAGCGATGTTTAATGCATGTTGAAGACATTGTTAAAAGCTGTGGAAATGGTGTTTGTTTTTTGTGGTGTTGAATGTAAAACCAATGATTGGTTGCTTCCAGCTGCATGTTTTTGTTTTTGACCGACACAATGGGGGAGTATTGGATTGGAATATAAAGTTTGTAATTTAATTATGAGGTTGGCTGGTTCATATCTATTTCTTCCCACCCTGCATTTAGAATGACAAAAATTGGAATAAAGTAAAGGGGGATTCTAAAGTCAAAAGCTACGGTGGTTGGAAGAGTTTGTCTCTTGTAGAATACAATTCATTCAACAAATTATAAACCCTACTATTATACAATATGCATGAAAAATAGTTGTATAAAATATAGTATTATACATTCATATTCATGGGTGCATATTATTATTAAGCATACATATGTATGTAAGATTGTGGAGTCTAGTGTAGTAGTCCCACCAAATAATTAATAAATAATGATTCAGAATAGAACTCCAAACCCAAAAGGGACTAGTTATGGTGACGGGTCAATTGGGTTGTGGTGACGGCCAACTTGTAATGGCGAAAATCATGAAAACAAAACACAGGTTGACTTATGGGTTAAGATTATTTTCTTTCATCTTTCGAATATGGAGGTCCACGAGCATATGGGATTTGAGAATGATAATTGAGGAAAACAAAGATTTCTTTTTTATTAAAAAAAGTCTTTGTGTGATAAAATAATGATAGTTTATCTTTATAGGAGAAATTATTGCCATCAAATATGTACATTTATACACACATTAATTTCTAACAATATATGAGAAAAAAAATAGAAGAACATAGACATATGGAGTATGCAATCATTGAGAATTGACAACGTTTTTAAATGATATAAAATTCAATATATCCATTTTAACTGGCACGTACGCATACATACATGTACAGAGTGAATGTTGTTGCAGTAATTAAATTTTAACAAATTCGTATTCAAATAGTTGAATATTGTAGTTTACGGAGGGAATAATTTGGGATTGGAATATTCATTGTATTAATGATGAAATCGAATCCAACTTGTTAGTAAATTAGATTTGAGAAAAATACAGAAAAATGAAGATGATGATGATTTGGTGGTGGAAGTTGATTTGATGTTACAACCTAACCAAAGTGAAACGCTTTCAAGAGAGAGTACTTGGAGAGGTTGATGTGATTTTACTCCTCACATTTCCCATTCTTTCTAAACATCATTGGTTCTACGCAAACCATCATCAGCAACACACAAACACATATTTGGCCACACACATTCCTACATTCGTCACAAATTTAGGTTATCTATTAATCCACCTCTCTTCTTAATTTCCACTTCCAAGACCAGCCCAACCCTCACCAACCTCAACACCGCCAAGTCTTCCATTTTCCAAATCTGTAACAACTACCCCTTTTTGGATAAGCCACCCTATGCAATGCATGGTCCCATTCCCATTTCAAAACCTTCTAAATTTTCAACATCAGTCAATCTCCTTTTATCAGTCACCGATTTGGAACCCTAAAACTTATTATATTACTTCAATCACACATGTTTATATTAGTCTTTAAAATAATAAGAACTTAAGACGCGTTGAAATTCCTATTTACGTAATTTTGTGTTGGGAAATATTGAAGAAGGAGAAGATGGATTATATGGAGGCGATGGGTCAAATTTTGTTGTCATATCTGATCTTCTTCTTATGTCAAGGAATGGCCGAAGCCAAGCCCATATTCATTCATTCAACGTTCAGGACCAAGGCCATCATTCGTATATCTCACAGTGATGATGTGAAATCATTCACTTCACAATCTTTTAACATTATTTTTATGTAAGTAATGGAATTATGTAAAATTGTTCCCTACTTTTAATTACAAGTAAAAAAATTATTTTTTAATATATTTAAGAAAGAAAGTTTGCACACACCAGGAATATTGAAAGAATGAAATCTCACCTCTCTGAATAGGTATTTCAACTAACCGATGGTGTGCATTAAAACATGTAAAATCTACAAAAACAAATGACTAAATTGATAAATAGTTTTAGTGGTGGTTATGATTTAGTAACACATCTTTGACTGAAAAAAAAAAACAGAAACAAATGTTTCGACTGTAATACCCATTGATTTTTTTTATAGGAGAACTATCGTGTCTGCGTTGTTAAAATGTCACATTTTGAAGGTGTAGAAGACGACTATGAATGAAGTGCACTAGTTTCCTGAAAATTGAATACAAAGACAAGTGGAAAGCTAAGTTTTATTTATTCTCTGAGGTTTCAAACACCACTTTTACAAGAACCGTCAACTCAGAAGTTATCTAATGAACGAGAGTTGAGGGAAAAATTTGGTATTTATGTGTCTAAGACCAAAATTTCTTAGTATTTGAACATAAAAACCGAGAACAGATCAAAAGCTTTTTTTAGACAAATTTTGTAGGATTAAAAAAGATACACGAGATCATGACATTTGAAGTTAAAATAAAAGGAAATATTTTTTTGCTTTTAAATTGGATGATGAAAGAATGCATTGTAGATGAAGAAGACAAAGAAAAAGGAGTAGACATGCAATTTGTGCACTTGCAGTTATGAAATTTCAGTCTTCTGTTTCTTTGCTTTTCATATAACTTTACTTGTTTTTTTACTTTGTTGTTCCATACAACAAAACAGGCTAGGAACAGGCCGCAGTAGGATTCATACACAAATTTGTGACTTGGAAGAACTTATTGATTTCTGTCCCAGCATTGGTTAAAAACTACGCATCTTGTTTGGTTGCTGAAGTTACAATTCACTTTCTGGGACAAATCAACAGCTTAAATTAAGATGAATCCTCTAAAAATGCCCATTAGGAGCTTAATCATACAGAAATGGTCAAAATCATGACAGAAAAACGTAAAGATTAATCCCCGGGAATGATAATAACTATTACTTAAATAGAGTACATTATGGAAGACATGCAACATATTATTACCAAAGTAAAACGGAGCTCAATATACATAAAAACCTAAGGCATGGCTTCTATTGTAACAAACTAAAAAACGATTAAATAGGGAAGAGGGGGACTAATTTAGAACCAAAAAAAAATACCATTCTAAGGGTGAGGGGTGAGAGAAGGAAATGAGGGAATGGATTGTAATATCAACTTCCTGCCTCCTCTGCGACTAGGAGATGATCCCAAGTCACAGTTAGGAGAGGAGATCCTCTTGCCATTTGGAGAAGAAGTTTTGATGCATGTGATAGGAGAGGTATCACCGAGGAGAATATCTGACATTTCGTCATCTGGGACAGTTTGAAAATGCTTAGATTGAGACCAAAGAGAGTTTGGTTTCCCAAGCTTTTGGCTGGTGGCAAATAATGCAGAGCCTGAGATGGTGGTAACAAAAGATCTTGGTGGCTTTCCCTTTGACGAAAAGGGCAACGGAAGCAATGGCCTGTCCCATAGAAATGAAATAACATCAATCAATAAGGGATCATCGGTTTTATCCATTATCTCAACTTACAAAAAGTCAGCATATCAAACCTGGAAAGTCGTAATGGGGTCGACACTGTAGCAGAATCCGGATGATCTTCAGTGCTCTGAATTTCAGTTTTCTGTAAAGCTTTTTGTGCCACACCCTTGCCAGATGCTTCTGTTTCTTCTGGCTCAGTTTCTATCCCTACAGGAGCAGAACCTGAACCAAAATTAAACAAGGAATTGAGTCAACTCGTAACAAGCCAACTGGTTAAATTGGGTAGCCAACTCGATGGTCCTGATTGAAAACTTACCATCTTTTCTACCGAAAGCATTCTTGCACCCTTCACATCTACAGCTGATAGAGCAACCAACGCCACCCTTCAAATGAAAAATACCATCTGTCATTTATATTATAACTGAAACTGAGAGCATACACGATGGAATGATGGACAAGGGTGCAAACCTGATAACATTCACAATATTTCTTTAGGCAGCTTGACTTTTTGCAGTTGCATCCTCTTTTGTGTCGTGCTGAAGCTGGAGTTTTATTTGGGTCATCCTGAAAGAAGATAATAATTAACGCGCTATAAGAGGTGGTTTAAATTGCATACGTGAAAAACTGAGTTAATTTGATTTTCTAACCCCAATCTCAGGTACAGAATCAGAATTTCTGATGACTTTAGGAGCAAATGCAAGAGGGTTACGAGATTCAATCTGCTTGCGAGTTTGAAGAACAGTGTCTTCATGAACAGGTTTGTTGAAGCAATCCTGACAGGAGCAGGGCTCTATGCAGTAGACACCAGCAGCAAAGCACTCGCAATAGCTGATACAAAATGAGAAGGAAAAAAAGGTTAATTTCAATTCAGATACAGTGAGGCCCTTTTCATTCCCTTTCTCGGTTCTCAAAAGCTTCAAACAATGTTCATTTCGAACTTACAGCTTCAAACACTTTGACTTCTTGCAATTGCAGCGTTTACAGCCCTCAGTTTCCCCAGGTGTCTCCACCTTACGCCTGCAGATCAAACTTGGTATAAGATCATGAAGAAAGGAAAAATTCAAAATAATGAGATGCACAGGCAATCAAGAACTGCACTTGCTTTTTCTTTCTGGGGCTATTCATATTGAAGTCTTCACCAGTCATGTAAACTGATGGCTGGGAACAATCTTCGGCAGGCAGAAGCCCATTGTCCGATGGATCCAATTCTCTTTCAGATGATACAGGTACCAACGCTAGATGCTGGTGTTCTTGGAATGTAGAGATTTGCAAAGATGTAGAGATTTGCAAAGATGTAGAGCTGGGCAGACTGAGTTGTCTTCCAGAAGACAAACTTTCAATTTGTATGCCCTTGTATTCTTTTAAGGCAGCAAGTGCATTCAAGTGTAGACCAATTCCTGGCAAAATTCCCCTCTGAAAATTCCCATTTCGTTTTGCGGGAAGCAGTTGCTTATCATTGGCTACATTCCTCTCATCAGACTCGGATGCACTTGAACCGGGGTTTGAATTATCATCAGTGTTCTTCCTTTGCACATTGACCATCTCAAAGTCTAGACATCGCCTCCGTATGGCACGGTGCGTGACAGAAACAAGCTGAAACCAAAACCCAGAAGATGCTTATAGATTGAATTGTCACACACATTTATAAACAAGTAGCAAGATGACCAAGTTTCAAATATATAAATATTTATAAACCACAAATAACACGATTCTTCACTACATCATAGCATATACCCGGGGAATGCAAAATGCAACACAATACTAATTGGGAAAAGAAATGCGTTTAATCTTGCTGTGACGTAATTATAAAGCACTGATTGGCTACAAATCGCAGCAATACAGTATTGTTCTTCTAGAATTAGAAATGTTAATTCAACACAAGCCATTACAAAAGGAAGAGACCGACAATAATATGCAACCATACACATGCAATGTCGAAAGGATTTTTATATTATTTAATGCTGCACCAGCTCATATGCCAGTACAATGCATCAATGTATACAGTTGAATATCTTTTGAGAAAAAGTTTATCACTGATATTCATATTTCATAGCAAGATCAATGCAACAGAGCCTAGAAAATCATGTATTGACACTGACAGATTACACATGCCTACCTGATCATTTGCGTTCTCATTTGAATTGCTAGTCACCAAAGCAACATTGGCGAGATTATCCTGTGTTTGGTCCGTGTTCGTGGCTGTTATCGTTGGCTCAGAACAGTGATCTCCAATTTCGTGCTCAGAACCTGAAGCAACCGAATCAACAATGTGCATCTTTCTACCATTATGGATGGTAGAAAGTGGTAGTAAAGACATAAAATCGCTCAGTCGTTTAGAAGAGTCCGATGGTTTGTGCATTAAACCCTTTAAAGCTTCTGCTTCACCTGGGGAATTAAAAATGAGCATATCAAGGCCATCAGGAATTAAACTATCCCAATAGCAGTCTGAACCTTCACTCTTTGGCTCCATTTGACATATTTCCTGAAGATGCACTTCACCCTCGACTGAATCAGTTTTACACTTTTCCTGAACGTAGCCAGCACCCGGTGCTGCCTCACCGGGCAGTTCCAAAAGAGTGTTATCCTCGTCACCACAGAGTGGGGGATCATAGCCAGGGCTCCCACAATTATTGTAGTTTAAAGCTTGTGGTTGCTCAACTGAGAATTTGATGTGCTCGCTAGATAACTCGACAGAAGCATCTCCTACAGAAATCCCTTTACCAGTGTTTTCCTGCAATTTACTTGGGTTATGATGTGCACGTGTGGAATCAGCAAGAGTCTCTTCACTCGTGTGAACTTTATTTACATCTTCAGAAGAAACCTTAGGCTTTGATGTGGCCACCGGGATGTGTCTAAAGATGAACGATTGGCAACAACCAGAGATGGATCACTAATTTGATATCTCAGAGTCATCAAACAACGAGGAATGAGATAAAAATTACAAGATTCGAAAAATTACCTTCTGAGGAATCTAGATTCCTTGAGACAGCTGACATGGGGTGACGTGAAAACAGATGGAGGAGACGAAAAGCTCAGTGAATTGAAAGTCTGACTAATGGGAACAGACTTAACTGGCTTTATAGGAGACAAACTGTTGATATAGTTGAAAACAGGTGAATCCTGCATATACCAAAGGTTAAAAGAAATATACTTAAACTGGATTAATTCAAGGATAATCTTATATATTCACACAGAAATAGAGTAACTTGAGCTATCAAAAGTAAAAGTAAAAATGCAGGAAAATCATTTCATAATTTACAAATCATTTTTAACAGACCAGATCTGACAAGGATTAATAATTGAACATTATAAAACATTACAAGAATGTACACAACAGAATGTAGAAACTGTTTATCAAGTGAGCCAGCATGTGACTGTTTATCAAGTATGTGGTGAAACATTCGTCTTGAAAATTTAGAGCCGGTCAAATCCCGTTTTGGCCAATTAACTGGCTCTCTGGTGGCAAATACAAAACCAAAGAAAATGAACTCGTGGAGTTTTCTCAATTTGATAGCGCATACAAAACCAAAGAAAAGAAACTCGTGGAATTTTCTCAATTTTATAGCAAATACAAAAACTTCATGAAAAAACTAGTATGCCAAACCGCGGAGTTTTAGACTTCTTTCAACCAAAAGAAGAAGAGAAAAAAATAGTAGAACACAGGAAACCCGAAGACCACAAAAACAAAAACTGTCAAAAAAAACCTCTAAATTGAAGTTAAAGAGAGATCTGTAATTGTCAAGATTTGGTCCCAAGAGAGAAACTTAGTCGCGGAAAGAACTGCCACTAAGGCTTGACCCAAATAAGAAAGAGAAAAAAATCTGGCTAAAGAGGTCAAAAGAGAAGAAGATGGAGAAATGGTTGAAGCTAAACGAGAAGAGAAGACTCCAACCGAAAATTGAGAAGAAAAAAAACTGCGGAATGAGAAGCATGAAGGAAAACAGTAGAGTTGACAAAACAAAGACATGAAAATGAAGAGGAAAAAGAGTGAAAGAGGAAGCAAACCTCAAACTTAGAGAGGGTAGCACTGATCTGGTTCCTATCTGGCGTGTCCATGTTCAGAGAGGCAGCACCACAACATTACTCTCTCTCTCTCTCTCTCTCTTTATCTTTTTATCTGAGTCACACTCTCTTTCTCCCAAATAAATGGGGTTGATAAGAGAAGAAGAAGAAGAAGAAGAAGAAGAAGAAGAAGAAGAGATGAGAAGGATTCAAGAAGCGGGAAGGCGGGAGAAGAAAGATTTTGTGGTAGGGACCACCACCCCTCCTTCCACAGCTGTCCCTCCTTCTTTCTTTCTTCTCTTTTGCTTCCTTCTTTTCTCTCTCACTATCCCTTCTTTTCTATTTTGTCGCTAAAGTAACACATAAACAGTTACCACCCACATTCTCTATCTGGATTTTCTCCTTGTTTCTTTCTCCCCTCTCCTTCCCTTTCTTTCATTCATATAACTGCAACTAAATCCCACTCAACCGCTCCTTACTAATTCCCATCATAATCACCATCAAATTACACCCTATACCTCCACTTTCTTCTGCAACAACTTTATCTTTTAGTGCCGCTTCTTTAGACTCCAAAACAATACTTATAACCACTTCTCCTGCATCTTCTACGTCTCCTAAAACGGATTATAACGTTTTTATTTTTGCCTTCAAACATATTAATATATTAAATCACATTTTATTTGTCTGTGCCACAATCTTGTAACTGGTCCCAACAAGGTTTCTAAGAAAAAACACCATCTTATATCAGAAAAACCAATTCTGATGATGCTTTGTTTGGAGTTGCACCACAAGATTAAACGTTGTTTTGTTTGTTGTCACCAAATGCCCATAAATATGTTTACCCAACTTTTACTGAAAATTAAATCAATTCAATCAAATTTATTTCTCTAATACGGGAAAGAGAGAAAGTTCGGTACAGCAATCATAATCACATTCCAACCGCAATGAATAATTTTATTTTATTTGTTTTCATTATTGGTAAAACTTTATCAAGTAAAGATGTTTCATAATATATATTCATGTGTTCAACGTATTTGTTGGAAGATTGCGTATTTGTTAGAACTATTAAAAGAAAACATTCACATCCTCCTTGTTTTTAATGCGCAAGAAAATGAAATCGAAACCCAAAATTGATTTTTTTTTTTTAACGTATGATAAAAACCATTTAGGAAACGTTTGGGCCTGATGAGAATTCATGATTGACTATTTAATTCCATTGGAGTAAAAATGTTTGATGGAGGTGACCAACAAAACAAGGGCAGACCCAGTAAAATTACCCAATAAATAGTTGTTACCGTTCTGTGTTTCTGAAACTTACCCAATACTATTAAAATATTTAATAAAAATACAGTTTATAATTAATTATAATAACATTTATTTTCTTTTTATGAAAGAATGAAAAAGAGGGTTTAGGAATGTGAGGTAACTGTAGCCGCAAAATAAATGACAATAAAATGGGCAACGCCTATGAGATGAGACGACACTTTCACACACACACAAGAATACGAAGGCATTAAAGGCTCTGCGTTTTAGCGCCCTAAGAATTTGAAAAGGGAGTGATCTGGTGCGAGTGAGGCACAGGGAAAGTGGTGAAGACTCGCGTGCATGGTACGTTAATCGTGCATGCCTGAATCTGGGAGAAGCTGAAAGGTAGAGCGCAACCCCATAACACGCACTTCCACGCACGGAATTTAATATCCACCACACCTTCCATTTGGATGACAACTAACCTAAGACGTTGTTCTCCGTTTGTTGGACCGTTCCCATCAAACATTTTCCAAATCAACCAATGAAATTGTCAAAATATATTTAATCTTATTTAGATGTAAAAGTTATGTAGGTGGAGAAGAAGGGTAGGGTACGTGGTTTGATGGTGTGATGATAATTATAGAATCTACATTTATGTTAGGTAGAGATGCAAAATTAAGATGTTCATGCTTTATATATGACTCTACCTTATCCTCTCTCCCCAGAATTGGGTGCCAAATTTAGAGGCACCCTTTATTTCACAGGACAGGTGGTCCCTATATACTACATAGGTCTTCCTCTTCCTCTTCCTCTTCCCTTCCTCACGTGATTTATCCCGCCACCATCAATACAAAAAATAAATAATATCAGTCACAAAACTTTACCTACCACAATTTCAGGAGGTGAACGCAAGATCATAATGTGTTGACTATTTGAGTAACACGTGCATGTCACGTGTCATATTGCATTACCAAACTAATAATAATATCATGGTTTTGGTCTTTTTAGATAACGTAACTTACCTGACTGATGAAGCATATTCGGCGGAACCTTGGTTTCTTTTTACGCACATAACACCAACACACTCTTTTCTTCTGTCTTTCTCTTGTAAATTCTGCACAAGAGTTTTCGGTCTTTTCTCTCCTAGATATTCTACGTTTTTTATTATCAAGATAAAAAATAAACAGTTCTTAACGTGTGGATGCTGTTTGTTTGGAGCATCCTGAATAAAGACCAAAAGTCTTTAATTGAAGTTTGAAACATGTGATACATGAAGGTGGGTGGAGTGTGTGCGCGTGTCAACTGTCGGGGACAGACAACATATTCAAAGGATAATGTATTTGTGGTGTCAGGAGGAATATCATCATCCGTCACAAATTCTTACGCCACTCCCAGTCACAGTGGGTTTCCTCTAGTTAGAATATAACTTCACTGCAGATAATTCCACTTTATGTTTAGTCCAAACATTAGCTTTTCTTTAATTAATATTATTATTGTTTACTTTGGGTAACTTTGGTTGACTTCGTGTACGGATAACAGTGATACATTTTTATTATTTTTTTTATCAAAATGAGAAAATATTTTAAAAAATTTGGACCAAAATTCTTTCCCACATTAGATACATTGTTACTCATTGATATTTTTTATGTTAATTACTTTTTTTTATGAATTTTCCTGATATATAATATACCTGAATAATAATAATAATAATAATAATATATTTTTATTTATTAAAAGAAACTGTAAATTTTAAAAGGAAAAAATGCATATATTAGATGAGAGATACAACGGTAAATAGAAGTTAATTATGAAATAATAATATTTGGAGTTGAACTTACAAATGCCGTGGTGGCTTTAGTTCAGAAGTTATTTATATTTATATATATACACACACAAATACAGAAAGAAGATAGAAAGAAGTAAGTGGCGCCGTGTGATTTTTCCACTCTCGGTCTCAGTTCTCCTAAGAGTGGAGACGGGCCAATCTCAAGCATTGCCTTATTTACAGTTTCCTCAACATGCAGACTAAAACTCAAACGCAAAATACAAAATACATATATCTCATATTCTCATCTTTCATTTTCAAATGCTGAAAACCACATATATATACTCAATCAGCCACCACTGTTTATTATTATCATGTATCGTATATTAAGGAAAAGCCTCAAAGCCATATATATATATATATATTACATGATCAACTACGCCTGCTTGGATCAACACCCACTGTCTTCAATGTCTCAGCGGTTCGAGGACTGCATGCAACAGATCAATATATAATTAAGCACCTTCATTGGAGTTAACTCAGTACTCGTAATGAAGAGAAGATATACCGGGAGAAAGGATTAGGGTGGACAGGGTCGTTGAGTGTGGCCTTGTTGTCCTGAATGTGAGACACTTTCCTTAAGAAGGAACCATCGATGAACTTGCTGGCTGAGTTGATGGTGCGATCAGGATCAGAGACCTCAGGCATGGTTTCTCTTCTTTGCTTGTTCACATGAACTGTTGGAGACCGCGCCAGTTGTTGATACGCAGTGTGTGATCCTATTGCCACAGCCACACACACCATTCCCCCCACGATGTACACCGGTGCAAACTCTGCCTTCACACTCAACCTACCATCATCACAAATTATACATATCAAACACTTTGTACATATAGAATCACATTAGAGTAATTAACCATTTTGGTCGAGTTTAGACACACACATACTTGGAGGTGGAATGAGCAGCATCTATCGTTGGGGACGCGCCCTTCTGTTTTGGAGTGGTGGAAGTAGTAAATGCTCGCCTTCCTCCTCCCAACTCAACCGATGTCAGTCGAAAAATTTTCTGCATTTAACGATACCAATTATGCACACAAGCTTTTCTGATTCCAATCACTTTCGTTGAAATGAAACAAAATCATGAATCATGTATTTTCATATTCATTGACATATTTTGTGCTGCAGAAGAAGAAGGTTAACCAAAACATTTGTTCAAAGATGGAAAAGGAGGTTGATTTACCGCTGCCCTGAAAGCCATTTTGTTCTTCCTGTAGAATGAAAGCAAAGAGAAATTGATGATAGGTGATACACAATCTCTTCCGGGGGAATCCATTTATATATAGAGCTGAGTAACATGCAGAAAAGCCACCCACATGGCCACGTGGTTGAGTATTATAGGACAACATTTGTGACCGCATGCACAACGGAAAATAACAGAACCTTCCCAAAATCAAACTTTCCAGTTGCTAATAATCCAAACCGCTACATCGACGCCATAACCGTTAACGTTTAGCCATGACTTTGACTCCTTCAAACTTCATAATCTCTCAGAACAAACATACTATTATTATAATAGTTAACGAAAAAATTTGAATTGAAAAATTAATATATTTTTTCTCCATAGTAATACACCAAAAGGCAAGGCTCTGAAAAGTAAAAGTCATTATTAGAGTGCAGAAGGAAAAATGTCAGAACTAAAAAACAGTGATACGGTTACATTTACCTATGCACAAAACTATGGTGTGTGTGAATGAAGTGTGAAGTATGAAACCCAAATGAGTGGTGTTGTGTTTTTGTACATGTCACGTTGCTAATGAACTTTCCCAGATACCCTCGTTCCTTTTCTTATTCATTGTAAAATCCAATACTTTTCTCTTTTACAGTGCAAACTATACAATTATTCTGTTTCTCCATTCATTGTTTACAATTATTTTCTGCATCCAATTCCAACTATTTAAAAAGGAACATTCAATTGTTTTTAATGTCCAACATGGGCCTTACTAAAAAAACATGTTTTGAGCCCAAAATTAAAACCAACGTTGGCCAAGGGAGAAAAAACTGAGAAAACATAATCATTTTGAATTAATTAAAATAAGGGGAAAGGGAATTTTATAATTGACAATTCAAAATGGCATAAACCAATAATATCTTTTCCTTTTATTTTGGTATATTATAATATTCGCAAGTATAGTCCTTGGGTGATTTTGAAATTTATCTGCAGAATATTATGGGTTGTCTCTGTCAGATTCTGAAAACCACTTGCTGATGTAAACATTGTTCTTCAGAATTTTGTTGGCCATTGTTCTTTCTTTCCTTCTACCATTCTCCAATTCCCCAATAGTTTTCCAAAATTAATTGTATATTTAATTTAATTCTAGAAGAATACAAATAAAAGAATGATATAATATCATATCTCCAAATAATTAACTAATTAATTAGATTCTCCCAAATCTTTATTTTTAATTGAATAACTTGTTAATAATTTATGGGAGGCAATTAAACTCCGTTGACTTTTCAAATAGTTGCATCAAAAGAATGTCATTTCGCTCTCAAACTACACTGTTGACGTTGACTTCGTATATTTCATGAAAGATTCTTATGGTTATTGTGGAGATGATGGTTTATTTTATGCCACTAAATTTAAGTCAAGTAATATATTAGGACAAATCTGACAGATTTTTATTAAGAAAATTATATTCAATAAAAACATCTTATCTTATTATAAACCTAATGAGCTTTTAAGAAAATAAGAAATAGAGAGATAAATTATTTTTCATAAATTCAAAATCATTTATTTATAAAAGTTCTTTTAACTTTCACCAATTGATTTAATAAATTATGTTATGGATAAGTTAAAAAAAAAAAACAAATCTTTTAATAATTATATGAAATAAAATTTTCCAAATCTGTGTATACATAATCTAATTTTTTAATTTATAGATAACTTAATTTTATTATGTTTCTTTTTTAAGTTCTTATGAATAAGTTTGTCACAGACATCAGGTATATTATTGAAACAAAAAATATCGAATATTTTTTTATTTTTGTATTTTATATTGACTTTAAAACAAAATTTTGTGTGAAAATTTTGTTGTGAGAGTCTCAGCCATATTTTTACAAAAATATCATATAAAATTTAGGATAAGATTAACCAAATAATTAAGCTAATATAATCAATTAATTATTCAATAAAAATGATTAAATCATCTTAAACTTTTTACCAAAACTCCATTAAATATAAATCCATTAAAAAAACATAAATAATGTGAAATTTAAAATATTGAAATGTCTTTATAAATACTAAGTCTTTTCATTTAGAATATCGAATCATTTGAGGAGATAATAGCGTGAAGGAAAAAAATTATTTACGATATTGTCATTACTAATGTATTTAAAAAAAATAAAACTAGATTTTTACAATAATTAGATAATTAGGTAAGAAGTAATTGAAATAATAACTAAATTTTTAAAGTATTTAATTAAAACATGGTAGAAATATTGATTTTTATTAAATTATTTAGTATTACTATTTCAGTCTACATAGTTTAAATAAATAACCCATATTAATGCGGATTTTACTTTCTATATATTTTAAAATTATATTTTTTATTAAAAATTGTTATTATAAATACTTTTTTACATTTTTAAACATAAAACTATTTAAATTAAATATCTTTAAATACTTAATTGAATTTTTTTATAATAATATATATATATATATATATATATATATATATTTAAAATATACCTTTGATTTTATTTTGAAATATTATGATAAAACAATTTCCAGGACTTTGTGAAATGTTATATTTCTCTATAATAAATCATTTCAACTTATTATAGTAAAATATTTGATTTATATAACTTCTAAATATAACAAATAAATAGTATTTTTTTGGAGAAATAATAAATACATACCTAGTAATCAATAAATTTATGCACATATTCTAACCCCAACAATGAAAATATTAAAATTTGCTATAATTCCCCGGATTTCTGATAATAGAAAAAAATGATTCTTTGAAGTGTGTTATTTTTTGTTGATATAAAAGAATGACTTTAGTTTATAGATATAAAAAGATAAATATAAAATATTATTTTATATAATAAATAATTTCAACATTGTTATAATAAATATCTCATATACAATTCATTAATATAATAAATTATCTCTCTATATATTCATTACATACACTATTACTGATAATTAAGTATTAATAATTTTTTAAATAATACCAAATTTGTAAACTATAAATAATTACAAATAATAAATGTAAAATCTTATCTTTATTTTATTTTTCAGATAATCTTGTTATTTCTAAAATCAAAATTCATAAATATAATGAATGGATATATAGTAACTAATAAGTCATTACACAAATATAATTAATGAATATATAGTAATTTTAGTAATTTTTTAACGTTATAATTATATTTGTTTTACAAATCTAAGATAACATTTATAGTGTTTTTTATTTATTGATTTATTTAAGTATTACTAAAATAATAATTTTCATAAAATATATTTTGCACGTGTTCATTAGAATAGGAATATTTCTGGAGTGTGTAAAACAAAGGTGAATTCTCCTACTAAAAATAAAATGATTTTATTGTAATGAAAAATGATCCTTCAATTATTATTATTATTATTATTATTATTATTATTATTATTATTATTATTATTATTATTGTATTTAATAAACATAATCCAGAAATAAGTAAATTAAAAGGACAGAAATGGAAGATTGAGTGGTTAGGGACACAAATTGTGACTGTAATCAAAGCAATGTACGGGTTTGTCCTTGTTTAATTGTTGGTGAAGCCGCCAGAACCATAGAGAAAAAAACCGCGACAACAACAACTAAGGCTTAGGAATCAACCTGTCTCTCTGTCTTTTATAACCGAATTATCAGAATCACAAATCGTCCAACAAGTCGTACACTTTATTTTATTATACTGTCAAAGATCTTAATTCCAAGGTGTATATATATATATTCATTTAATATATATATATATATATATATATATATATATATATATATATATATATATATATATATATATATATCAGAACACAACAACTGAAACAAAGGTGAGGTAAAATATGATATGATGTGTGGTTACTTGTTGGGTTCCATGGTTTTAAATTGAGCTATTTTGAAGCATTATCTGTTTTTCTCTCCGCCACCACAATTAAGGGAACACCCGCGCTTCTTTCTGGGACGTTCATTGCTGTTTTATCTTAAATTTAACATATAATTTTAATTTTTGAGGTTGTTTATTTGCTGGTTTGTTTTGTGTATTGTGTGGCTTCACCCTTCAAAATCGCTCCTCGAACAAAATTTGAGCGATGGATTGTTGGGATCGGGTTCCTGTTGGCATCTCAGAGTTGGCGATGACAACCTGCGCAATGCACATTGCATCAAAAGCCAAAAGCCTTTGATTCTTACAAAAAGGGAAAAAGGTATCCACACGCTAACCCACCGACTTTTTTTTTTTGTGGGTTTTTTGGGGCCATGAAAAATAGTCAATTGTTTCGTCTGGGCACATTCTCACATTTTGCGTAATTTTTAATCTGATTTTGCTTGTTTCGTTTGATGCTTCAGCTGGCCGTTTCGTGGTTGCTGCTTTCAAGGTTTGTGCTTCGGCAGATACCTCTCTTTTTTTTTTTTTTTGCACCTAAAAAAAATGATTTTTTCTGGTTCATTGGTCTTGGTCGTCGAATAGTGCTATTTGGGTCGTTTTCTGATAGCTATTCTTTTCTTTATTCTGGTACTATTTTCTCAAGGGAACTAGTCAATAAAACAATTGTCTGGCAAGAGAAAATTCCGGGTTTGAATCACGAAAAGTCAATTTTCTAGACATGATATAATATACAGAAGAAGGCACTCTCATTAGAGGGTGCTCCGTGCTCCTATCACTATAGATATATAAATTTCGAACCTTTTTTACGTCGTTAAAATTTTCTGGCAGCTTTTTTTGTTTTTATATAAATTATTTTAACATCGTTGGGATTGTACAAATTGGTTTTGGAATTTGAAGTTGTGAGTGGTGAAGATGGCTTCGGAAGGCGAGATTGTTAGACCAAAGGTGGAATTCGAAGCAGAAGGTGCTCTGAATTCAAAGATGAAGGGTTCTGGAAACATAAGCAGTAAGGATATGATATTCAGAGCTGATAAGATTGATCTCAAGAGTTTGGATGCCCAGCTGGAGAAGCACTTGAGCAGGGTTTGGTCAAGGAGCACTGAGGCAAAACGGCCCAAAGAAGATTGGGAGATTGATTTGGCCAAATTGGATATACGATATGCTGTGGCTCATGGAGCTTATGGTACTGTATACAGGGGAACTTATGATACCCAAGACGTTGCAGGTATTTGAACTTCATTTATTTACTTTAAATGTTGTTTTCTGCACTTTTATTCTGGATGAATTTTTTATCACAAAAGGTGTGTGAAAAGAGATTGAATATGTTATTCAGTATCTCTATTTAGATGCTTAAACGTTCTGTATAGACTGCATTCTTTCTACTTTTTGACAAAACCGGTTTCCCCATGGCCTGAGTCTGGAGTTTAAAATTTTTCTTAAATCAATCATAGAGTCATTGCTATATGATATTATTATTTAAATCTCTGCTGGGTTTGATGATGCTGTGAGTGAGAGAACATGGCTTCAGCATAGCGTTGAATAAAAATAACCCATGAAAGAATGGGGCATGTTCTGGAAATCTTTTTCTCCATGCTGTTATATGTTGGTCTAATGAGATATCCAGTTTTTTTAGCACTGGAGTTAAATGCTCAGATTATGTGTTTGAAAGCCACTTTGATGGCTGGCTGAAAACATCAAACTAGGTGATAAAACTAAAGCCTACAGAATCTTAGCAGTGAATTTTATCAAACTTAAATATGTATAATAAATTTATCCTATTGGGAATAATATAGCAGTACACTAAGTCTACCATCCTTTTGGTTCTGTTAAGAGTAGGGAAGAATGAGAAATAACTTCTATAACCTTTGGATTGTCATCTTCAATTTTACAGTGAAAGTATTGGACTGGGGCGAGGATGGTGTAGCTACTCCCGCTGAAGCTGCTGCTTTACGGGCATCTTTTAGACAGGAAGTTGCTGTCTGGCACAAACTTGACCATCCTAATGTGACAAAAGTAAGAACTCATAGTCTTCAATCTTATTTATTTAAATTAATGACTACTACGTGATACTTAACAGAGTTGAGAAAGAAGTGGCTGTTACTTTTAACTTTGTTCTGCTCTCTTCAGCATGCTTAGATATCTGTTCTTGTTACCTGTTTAAGAGGAGAAATAGATTGATTTCAATGATCTGCGCAGCAATATTTTTATGTATATCGTTTCAGATTAGTAATTGTTTTGTATTCATCTGCGCAACAGTTTGTTGGAGCTTCAATGGGCACTTCAAATCTTAAGATTCCCTCCAGTAACTATTCGAATGGGGAAGAAGGGTCCCTTCCTTCCAGGGCCTGCTGTGTCATTGTTGAGTTTATCTCTGGTGGGACACTAAAGCAATACTTGATAAAAAATAGGAGGAAGAAACTTGCTTACAAGATTGTGATTCAGCTGGCTTTGGACCTTGCAAGGGGGTATGTCCCATTTCATCATCTATGCAGTAACAAACTGCATATCTTTTACTAGTATAATAAATTCAATGTTGTCCCCAATATGCAGTCTTAGTTATCTACACTCGAAGAAGATTGTTCACCGAGATGTTAAATCAGAGAATATGTTACTAAATCCTAGTCGGAATCTAAAAATAGCAGATTTTGGGGTTGCTCGAGTTGAGGCTATGAATCCAAGCGACATGACAGGTGAAACTGGAACCCTTGGATATATGGCCCCAGAGGTAGGTGTTTCCACGGGATGGCCTCTATTGTGTTAGTCTTTTCTACTATGATTTCTATTTACAAACACATAAACAAGTTACTTGCATGGCACTGCATCTTCTTCTGTCGGTACAATGAGGATAACTCTGGCATCATCACGTATGGTGCCATTTCTATGACAATTTATATGCATACATCGAGGATTGTTTATTAAACATAGGATTACACTCTATGTAGGTTCTGGATGGGAAGCCTTACAACAGGAGATGCGATGTCTATAGCTTTGGCATCTGCTTGTGGGAAATTTACTGCTGTGATATGCCTTATCCAGATCTAAGTTTTGCTGATGTTTCATGTGCGGTTGTTCGCCATGTAAGTTAACAAGACAAACTATGATTTATTTGAACACTGTCATAGGATGTTTGCCTAATACAATGTTTCCCTTGATACATGTATTCCTGCACAGAATTTACGACCAGATATTCCGAGGTGTTGTCCAAGCGCCTTATCAAATATCATGCGGAGATGCTGGGATGCGAATCCAAACAAGCGCCCAGACATGGAAGAGGTGGTGAGAATGCTGGAAGCTCTTGATACTAGCAAAGGTGGTGGAATGATACCAGAAGATCAGAGTCCAGGGTGCTTCTGTTTTGCCCCAACCCGTGGCCCCTAATTCTTGAATCCAACTTCCTTCTATCATGTGTTCTAGAGATGAACCGAAGCACTGCAACTGGCAATTGGTATTTTATTTTTTTTGCCAGTTCACAGCTCAACACCCTTTCCTTTTGGCCAGAATGATTGTGAGAAGAAAGGAAGGGAATTGCATTTTATTTTTTAAATTTTTGGCTAAAGGGGCGATTTCAATGATTCTTACATATTGTATTTAGTACTGAAAAGTGGATTCTTTTGAGCATGAAAATGGAACATGATCTCTAATAGATGTTTCCCCTACTACTACCTACTACTACTACTACTACTACTACTACTTCTACTTATATTTGTGCCTGACTGGCTACTGGAGTAACATTGTTCTGTGTCATGTCATGTCATGTTGACAAACTCTGTTTTTTGTGAGGAGCTGAGTGAATTCTGATGTGGAGGAGTAAGATTTTCTGGCCAAAACAGTGTAATACATGAATAAGTTATTCAATCATATATAAATATATTTGCTAATATTTTATAAATTTTGATGTTAATTCTATTGCCCTTGCAAAGCACAAGTCATGATTTGTGGGATGACAAGAACAGTCCTCATAAGTTAGACACAGGAATCATTTCCTGCAAATGCAAAACAAAAAAATGAATTTCAGGTTTGGAATGTTTGCATTATTGTTTATGCAATCGTTTTAGACCATCCAAGCTTCATCGGAAATGCTTGCCAAATAGAAATAAATACAAACATGTTAATCACTCAATCATCCATCAAATGTCATCTATATACATCGTCTGATGCTATATTACTATATTTTTTTGTCTTTAAATATAAAATATATAGAAATTAAAATGATACAGCATAAAAGAAACTTTTTAAATCATAAAAGAACGATGTTCCTATCGTAGCTAATCTAACAGCAAAGTTAGATTAATGGGAGATTGACCACATTACTCATTATCAGGAATGTTTTGGAAATACTTCAAGAAATAAATAAATAAATGCAAGATTATTTAAAAAAATTGTGACAAAAAAGAAAGAAAATGCTACTTCCCAATATTGACAGGAAATACTTTTTTTTTTTTTCATTCAATAGTTCGGAAGGAATAAATATTTTCAATAAACTAACTTTTACTATATAAAAAAAAAAAAAAATCATCCAGTTTCTTCGTTTATGAATGTCATAAAAAAATTATCGTGTACTTGGTATATATAGAATGGAAGTGGATATCCATTTTGGTAGTTGCATCAGAGAGCAATACTGATTCGGCCATGGCCACAACAACCCTTCATCCATCTTCTATTCTTTCAGTTCCAACAAGGCTGAAGGAAGAAGCTAAACCCATAACCACAAACTCATCCCACAAGTTACTAGGAAACTGCAAAACCCTGAATGAAGTGAAGCAGTTGCACTGTGACTTGATGAAGAAAGGGCTGTGTCACAAGCCTGGTGGTGGTCACATTAACAAGCTCATTGCTGCTTGTGTCCAGCTAGGCACCCTTGAAAGTTTGGACTACGCTCGAAATGCTTTTCAGGATGACGGGGCTAACATCCCCTCCTTGTTTATGTATAACTGTGTCATTAGAGGTTATGCCTCAGCAGGATTAGGTGAAGAAGCAATCTTGCTTTACATTCAGATGGTGGTGATGGGTATTGTGCCTGACAAGTACACTTTCCCGTTTTTGCTGAGTGCATGCTCTAAGATTATGGCGCTTTCTGAGGGTGTTCAAGTTCATGGGGCGGTTGTTAAGATGGGTTTGGACGGAGATATCTTTGTCAGCAACTCTTTGATACATTTTTATGCGGAATGCGGGAAGGTTGACTTAGGGCGAAAGGTGTTTGACAAAATGCTTAAAAGAAATGTGGTGTCTTGGACTAGTTTGATAAATGGTTATGCTGGAAGGGACTTGGCAAAGGAGGCTGTTTCTCTGTTCTTTCAGATGGTTGAGTCTGGTGTGGAACCTAATCCGGTGACTATGGTTTGTGTTATATCTGCTTGCGCCAAGTTGAAGGATGTTGAATTGGGTAAAAAAGTGTGCGCTTGTATCGGTGAGTCGGGTGTGGAACTTAATGCACTCGTGGTAAATGCATTGATTGATATGTACATGAAATGTGGGGATATATGTTCTGCAAGGCGGATTTTTTATGAATGTACTGATAAAAATTTGGTTATGTACAATACTATCATGTCAAATTATGTGCAACATAGGTGGGCCGGTGATGTGCTTGTGATTTTGGATGAAATGCTGCAAAAAGGACCACGACCGGATAAGGTAACCATTTTATCTACGATTGCAGCCTGTGCACAGCTGGGTGATCTTTCTGTCGGGAAGTCATCCCATGCTTATGTCTTACGGAATGGACTTGAAGGTTGGGATAACATTGCTAATGCCATCATTGACATGTACATGAAATGTGGCAAAACAGGTGCAGCTTGCAAAGTTTTTGAGCATATGCCAAACAAGACGGTGGTGACATGGAATTCGTTAATTGCAGGTTTGGTTAGAGATGGTGATGTGAAATTAGCTTGGAGAATCTTTGATGAGATGCTGGAGAGGGATCTTGTCTCTTGGAACACTATGATCGGTGCATTGGTTCAAGCAAGCATGTTCGAGGAGGCAATTGAGCTGTTCAGAGAGATGCAAAATCAGGGGATAGAAGGAGATAGAGTGACGATGGTGGGTATTGCTTCTTCCTGTGGATATTTAGGAGCTCTTGATCTTGCCAAGTGGGTCTGTACTTACATTGAGAAAAATGACATTGCCATGGACTTGCAGCTCGGCACAGCCTTGGTTGACATGTTTTCTAGATGTGGTGATCCCTCAAGTGCTATGCATGTTTTCAGAAGAATGGAGAAACGGGATGTGTCTGCCTGGACTGCAGCTATTGGAGTTATGGCGATGGAGGGAAATACACAAGGGGCTATTGAACTTTTCAACGAGATGCTCAAACAAAAGGTGAAACCAGATGATGTTGTTTTTGTGGCACTGTTGACGGCATGTAGCCATGGTGGTTCTGTGGAACAAGGGAGGCAAGTTTTTCGGTCAATGGAAAAAACCCACGGAAAAAGTCCCCAGATTGTGCACTATGGATGCATGGTTGATTTGCTTGGTCGAGCTGGGCTGTTGCAAGAAGCTCTCCATCACATACAAAGTATGCCAATGGAACCTAATGACGTTATCTGGGGATCCCTGCTAGCAGCTTGTCGGAAACACAAAAATGTTGAATTGGCACATTATGCAGCTGAAAAGTTAACACAATTGGCCCCTGACAGAGTTGGAATTCATGTGCTGTTATCTAACATATATGCATCAGCTGGGAAATGGAGTGATGTAGCCAGAGTGAGGTTGCAAATGAAGGAGAAGGGGGTCCAGAAAGTGCCTGGATCAAGCTCAATAGAGGTTCACGGTTTGATTCACGAGTTCACCTCGGGTGATGAATCACACGCAGAGAACACCCAGATTGGACTAATGCTACAGGAAATAAACTGCAGGATAAGCGGCATAGGATATGTTCCTGATACAACCAACGTCTTACTTGATGTTGATGAGCGGGAGAAAGAGCACTTGCTCAGCAGACATAGTGAGAAGCTAGCCATGGCTTATGGACTCATCACTACTGCTCAAGGTATACCCTTACGAGTGGTAAAAAATCTTCGAATGTGTTCTGATTGTCATTCATTTGCAAAATTAGTGTCAAAAGTATATAATAGGGAAATTACAGTTAGAGACAATAACAGGTATCATTTTTTCAAGGAAGGATTCTGTTCTTGTGGAGACTATTGGTAATAGAGTTACTAAGAAGAAGCTCTTGCCTCTGGTTTACGAATCAACTTTACTCTCCACAATTTTTCTATTTTTTCTTTAAAGATGGGACTTGAACATATGGGGAAAACACCAAACAATACTTGTTAATGTGAAGAAATCTAACCGAATTAAATTGTGCAAGAAGGAAGTATAGATTTGTTCACTCAAATTGAAAAGAAAATGTATAAGATGTGGAACAATAAAATACACAAGAGGGGAAGCAAGATAAACATTTGAAGAAGTAACATTCTCTAAAAATCTAATTGTTTGCCAGTTACTTCCAACGAAATGTAAATCCAGATTTTCCTTCCTTCTACGTCCTCGTTTTACACCTCATGCCAATATGTGACTACTAATTCACAATGACCCACTCGATTAGAAACTCCGATTAAACCTTTTCTCATTTCCAAGTCTCTTCTTATTTTTATGTATTTCACTTAATTTTTTTCTTGATTTAGACGTTAGAGTCTTTCTATGTATCATTTTGTCATTACTATGCTTAGTCACGTTGAACCATGAGTATTAGATATCACCTCTTCAAGTGAGTATATCTTTTAGCTCACCTAAGATCAATTAATTCCAAAAGCATAACTACAAAGCGTATGATAGAATAAATTTACCTATAAGTATTTTTAGGAGAATAATAATAAAAATATAAATTATTAAATTAAAATTACTTTATATTAGTGTCGAGAAACTCTCTTATATAAATCTTATCTTTTTAAATTATATCGACTGATTTGTTTTCTTTAAAAAAAAAAAAAAAAACTTGGAGAAATTTATCCAAATACAGTTGAACCAGAACCTAGGGTCAATCGGGAAAGCCAAGTTCATGTTTAGAAGAGGTACGTACGGATTTGCAGTTTCGAAGCAAATATAAGTTGGGTATCATCTTCTTCAATTTTAATATCTTCTATACGCAACATTTTCTCACCTTTACACTGGGTAAAATGTGTTGACAAAATTATCCTTTTATTTTAACATTTTATTGCTATTTAATAACATTAAATAAGATTTTTTTTTTTTAAATAACTATACTTCTAATGTTTATTAATACTATTCAAACAACATTTAATATGAAAAAAATGTGTCCGAACAAGAATCAATTCTATCAAATTCACTTTGTACTAAAATCAATTTTGCTAAATCTACTTTACAAATTCTAATTCAAACACACATAACATCTGTTTTTTAAAATTCTGTATGCAAGGAAGTATTGATTTCCATTGTTTGAAAAATGTGTAAACTAAGGATTTAAAACAAAACTGTTTGATGTGGCTCATGCAATCCATCAGTTCAGGATTTTTTACTAGGAATGGAATATCAGTGTCCTAGCCTCAAGGAGGCATACTGAGATGGAACCATGGATATACATCGGAGAATAGTCAAAACTAGAAGAAAAAAAAGAAAGAAAAGAAGCAAAGTGTTCAATTTTGATTTACCAAAAGAACAACATAGCCTCAAACCTAAATGGTTTTATGACTTCATGATGAGTGCTGTAATGTTGGGAAAATCGGATCAACAAAACCATTGTACATTGGGTCCACCTTCCAGAGACTAGCAATATGCAAATGCGATGAGGTTCGCCGATGGATTTCTTCAATGAGCCAGATGGTGGCCTCAGCTTTGTGTGGATGAATTATGTTGTCCAAGGGGTTGTATTCATCCTCACTGCCAATTCTCAACTGATCCCATTGCTTAAGGAGAATATTTGTGAGGTAATGAAGGGGCTGTCCGTATAACTGCTTCAGGGATCTGCCTAACCCCATCCAAGATGTAAATGGGATCACAGAGCCTCGATGATTTGGAATTGGGATCTGCTTCATGTAATCCTGATACATTTCTGCACGTCTGATGAGTGCATCTGGATACAAGCATGACCTCTAAGGTAAGAACCATAAGATTAAGAAAGTATCATACAGTCTAACTAGAAACCAAAGGATACAGTATCAATAAGAAGTTTTCATAAACAGTTATCAGCAATGAGTTACAAGCTAAGAATCCAAAAAGAGGATGTGAAAAAGGTCTCCCAGTTTTCATGGGGCTAGAAATGATTTTTTGTCAACCTGACTTCTCTTAGTTATACTTTGAATAAAACAAGGTGACATAAAACAAAAGAAAAAAATCTCACTGAAGGTTAAATCCGTGTTATTGACATTATAAAGCAAAATCCACCTCTCACTAACAACTAACAGAGAATAAAAAAGAAAAAATATATTTTAAGACAGAACTATAAATCACAAATATAGTTCAACATTCTGGCCATTTACCCCTTAAGCACAAAATGCAATAAGGTGGCGCAAAACAGAACCACAAACCATCCATACATACATTTGTGCTGTGAATCACTATATCTTAGCTTCTCCAATTGAGAAATAATTTTAATTTGATGTACTCAAACGCAATCAAAGAGGTAATGTATGATTATAAGCGAATACCTTGGGACTTGATAACAGTGTAGGTCGAAGAAGAAGAAGAAGAAGGAGAGACATCGAATTGATTATCCCACGGACATGGCCTCTTCATCGTGAGGGAATCAAGGTCCTGTTCCTGCTCAAGAAGTGCTTGCTATCAATACGAATGTAATAAAATTAAAACCAGTGAATTGAATAAAAACAAGAACCCTAGAAGTGAAGTGAGGGAAGGAAGAAAGTACCAGAATTGAAATGGTGGAACGAAGTGAAGTGGGTTATTGAGGGAGGATGAGAGAGAGAGAGAGAGAGAGAGAGAGAGAGAGAGAGTTAGAGGAGTTCTGCATCCAACTGCAAACTGCAAATGCAAACCCTCACGCGCGGGTTTGGAAGAAGCCCTGCAAAGAAAGATCATTTTAGTGTCCATGACAAAGATTAAAATATGCTTAAATTAATATTTATCAAGACTAAAATAAATTAAAATAATATTTAGAGATTAAAATAAATATTTTTTTATTAAAAAAGACTGAAAGATAAATTTTTAATACAAATTGTTTTCTCTAACTTCAATATCAAAAGAGAAAATATTTCAAAAAACTGTTATTAATATTTTTCATTTAATGAATAACTGTTAGAATTTAAAAAATATATATTATTTTTAACTAATTCATATTTAGAATGACATTTAAAAATCCTTTTGAACAAAATTTTTAATGGAAATGAGTGAAATACTTGCATACATACATGTGTCCGTAATAATATGTAATATCAGCTAATTTTTCTATATTTTTATTATAATATAATAATTTTATTATCCAAACTTCTAATTCTTTCATCAACAAAACAATAAAAAAGCATGATTAATTAGTTTGATTTTACATACATTAAACAAATTTACATGATTAACTTAATTAGTGTACAGGTTAAATAATTTGAAATCAATCTTAGTAAAACATTTTTAATACAAACTATCAGAAAATACTATATAAATAGAATTTTTCTTAATGAACCTCTTTCAAAGTAGCCAAAATAAATGGCCTCCAAGTTCAGAATCCTGAACTTCTTCACTCACAGTCTCTCTCCCAGAATCACCGCCGCCAATGCCTCCCACCGTTTCCTTTGCGGCAACCATCTCTGCACTACCGTGGAGTCGCCGGAGCTTCCACCGTGGCTCAAGTTCTCCGATGCCCCGACCCCTGCTGACGCTGACTCAGACGACAACTTCGTTATCCCTTCACTCGCCCATTGGGTCGACACCCACATCCTCACCTCCAAGCCCAAACGCCCCACGCAATCCTCCAAGCAAAACAGCCTTGACCACCACGTCGAAGCAGTATCCACACTTCTCAAAAATCGCTACTCTTCTCCCGAGCTACTCGCTGCAGCACTTGATGGAGGTCGTTTTCAGCCATCAAGCGATTTGGTTTCGCAGGTTCTCAAGAGATTCAGCAACGATTGGGTCGCAGCTTTCGGGTTTTTCAAATGGGCAAAATCTCAAACAGGTTATCGGCATCCTCCCGAACTCTACAACTTGATGGTTGACATCTTGGGAAAGTGCAGATCCTATAATTCAATGTGGGACTTGGTGAAGGAAATGTCGCAACTGGAAGGGTACGTCACATTGGATACAATGGCTAAGGTAATAAGAAGGCTTGCCAAGGCTCGCAAGCATGAAGATGCTATAGAAGCATTTCGAAGAGTGGAGGAGTTTGGTGTTAAGAAGGATACTGCAGCGTTGAATGTTCTCATGGATGCGCTTGTGAAAGGGGATAGTGTTGAACATGCCCACAAGGTTGTTTTGGAGTTTAAGAGTAGGATTCCTCTGAGTTCTCATTCTTTCAATATTTTGATGCATGGGTGGTGCAAAGTGAGGAACTTTGACAATGCAAGGAAAGCGATGGAGGACATGAAGGAACACGGGTTTAAGCCTGACGTATTCTCGTACACTAATTTCATTGAAGCGTATTGCCACGAGAAAGATTTCCGCAAGGTGGATCAAGTTTTGGAGGAGATGAGGGCAAATGGGTGCTTGCCTAATGCTGTGACTTACACTAGTGTGATGCTCAATCTGGGGAAAGCAGGGCAACTGAGTAGAGCTTTGGAGGTTTATGAGAAAATGAAGAGTGATGGATGTGTGGCTGACACTCCAATTTATAGCTGCTTGATATACATCCTTGGCAAAGCTGGGAGGCTAAAGGATGCTTGCGATGTGTTTGAGGATATGCCTAAGCAGGGGGTTGTGAGAGATGTGGTGACATACAATGCTATGATTTCTGCTGCTTGCGCACACTCGCGGGAAGAGACTGCGCTCAGGTTGCTTAAGGAAATGGAAGACGGATTGTGCAAACCAAAAGTGGAGACTTACCATCCGTTGCTCAAGATGTGCTGCAAAAAGAAGAGAATGAAGGTGCTCAAATTTTTGTTGGATCACATGCTCAAGAACGATATAAGCCCTGATGTGGCGACTTACTCGCTCCTGGTAAATGGTCTGTGTAAAAGTGGAAAAGTTGAGGATGCTTACTCGTTTTTTGAGGAAATGGTCTTGCAGGGATTGACTCCGAAGTACAACACGCTCAAGCGATTGATTGGAGAGCTCGAGTCCAAGAGCATGACAGAAGAGAAGGAGCGTGTTGAAAAATTGATGGATCGCATCTTACAGAAACCAAATATCTAGTGGTTTTGGCATGATGAACTTAGTGCTTGTGATTTGTTCTTCATTTCTTCCCATATCATGATAGAAAATGGAAACGACCTTAGTCTTTGCGAATGAATCCTCTTGTGTTATTTTCACAAAATTATATCATGTGAAGAGTTTGTTTTTGTTTTTCTCTTCTTAAATGTAGGCAAATTTTAATATAATTCCACCTCTTCTACAATTAAGAAGGGTAATATTGACACATTTTTCCATCTAGTTTATTTGCTGACTCAAGTGTACTTGCGTTTTGGACCTGATTTAAGCATTTCTTTTCATAATTCTTAATTTAACACTCGTTGCATCTATGTGAAGTTTTATGAGTTTTTGAACATCTGCCGTTTAGTTTGGTTTTTTATCACTTAATTTCTGGATCTTTTATTACTACAAACATTTAGGAACGCATTGTCTTTTTTACTTAATAGCAAAATTAATTTTGAATTCTTATCTTAAATTCTGTGGGACTATTTCTATTTATTTTTTATTAGTGAAAATACCAAATATTCTGTACTTTCGGAAATGTTTGTTTTTTTCCCTAAACTTTCCTTCTTTTAAAAGAACCTTACAATAATTTAGATGTATGTTTGAAGAAACGATTTCATAAAAAATCACTACTAGTTTTTTTTTTATAATAATCTGACATGATTTATTTTTTATAGAACTACTTTTTTGGAGAGGCCAAAAAATAAGGAAAGACCCTCGCAGTCGCAGAAGACAGGTTTGACCATTAGGGTTAAAGTCCACCGAGTTTGACAATGAACAGAAACAAGAATGGGGAAAAAATAATCAATAATCATTTAGATGAAGCAATATGGATGTGTAAGAGGTAGAAAGCAACCAAGAATGTACAGCATATTTGATCTTGTTGGTGAAACTTGTACAGTGCTGAACAGGGATTGTGACACTGGCACTGGCACGGGATGGGAATAACCTACCGTGTGTTTTTTGGACACACATTCTGAAATCATCTTATTTGTTACTTTCACGTCAAATTAAGAAAAGGTGCAGAAGCAATTTGCTTCTGGGCGGCAGATGTGTATCGGTTGTTTGAAAATGCCATTAAAGGTATTGCCTCCTGTGTTGGGATAATAGCGAACTTGACACTTTATTCGAAGCTAACCTTCTTCTAGCCATTGGCCTCTGCCACCCAAGTCTTTCTAGGAATTCCTCAATCAACCTATAAATTCAAATTGATTAACAAATATATAGTTTTTTATAGATTGTAAAGGGATAAAAGTAGTAAAACACATAAAAAAACCAAGTAACACGCACATGCTGCAAATGGCCTTTTGGGATGCAGCTACCTCACGGTCTGGGAAAGATTCTTCCAACCGAAAGCTCAACCAAACGTACAGATCCAAGACCTGCAGTTTAAGTACCAATCAGAAACTGTTAAAAATTGATGTTTACTGGTTCAAAATTAGTTAAAAATGGATTTGTTAACATTTTCTCCAAAATCAGTGAAGGAAAAAATATCGTCAACAGTGTACATGCCTCATAGTTGTTCAAATGATTATTGAAGTCGTGACATTACACATGAACGCTGAACCATTTACGTGAATTATAAACAAAGAGTAAAAGTAACAAAAGAAACCTTGTGGATGGATTCCAGCTCCTTAAGAGCAGCCGGGGTCTTGGGCACATTGAGTGACCCTGGAGTAAATATTTCTCGAAGCCGGACAAGACCTTTCTTTGCATAATTTTCTGCAAACTGATTTATCATAAGATGTCATTTTTATGATCGTTCAAAAATAACATCAACATGTCATTCTAACAATGGTAATTACCTGCGTTAGGCCTTGAGATGAAATCTCATCATCCATTTCAGCTGGACTGAATATTATAACCATCAGTTAAAAGTTAACTGAAAAGATGAATTGACATAAAATACAAACACCCTAATCTATTAATTCCACCAGGTTTTCAATTCATAAAATACATGGATGTTGCATTCTGAAATTGTGTTATTTCCTGAAAAGATAAGAATGTACCTGATACAGAAAAGGTATTTCTCACGTAATCCAAGTGGAAACTCATCAATGACAGCGGCAACTTTCTAGTACCAGAACGTACATACAAGACCCACCAAACAAAAGGGAACCGAGTAAATAATAATAAAATAATATAGGTATTTGATACTGATATTACTAATGAACAAGACAACAGCATTGATATGAAATATCCACAATTCAATGGCAAGGAAGCAATTAAAAGACATACCAGTAATTGTTCACAATTAACAATGAAATAATTTTCAGATAATTTTGCATTGTCTAGAAAATGTGCCTGCAATATTTAAAGGAAAAAGGTAAATAGTAACGTAGTTTTGGGATATAATATAATCATATAATATTTTAAGACAGCTAACAAGATGAAATTGAGTGGAGTACAATGCTGGCCCACTTTATAATTAACTAGCAATCACATAATTTTCTTTGCACTTGCAATGGACAACAACAAATAATACAATTTATAGGGTACTATGGATGATAGATATAGTTTACCAGTATTTGATAGAAACCCTTTCTCGGGTGTAATCGGGAGTACATATACATCAAATCGAAGGTAGGAAGTAAGCCAGCACGCTGTATCAGAATTAGTATACACAAATCATCAATAATAGATAAAGTAAACCAAGTTCAGAAAAAAAAAAAAAAAAAAAGTGAATAATCCTAGAAACTTTCTAGATTTCAGTTTCGCCTAGGTTGCATGCTTAGTATAGGGTAGTTAAGTTTTAGGTTACATCTAAAATGGGTGATGGAGAATTCAATGATGAATGGAGCAAGGGTAGATCCTCTTCATCCAAGCATGTCACTTCTCCTTCGGGAAAATTTGACCCATATCTCCCAGCTCTCCCTGCAAGTAGAAATGTGTTCAATGTAACCAAGAACATATGATCCAAATAGACAAGACACTAGCCCAAGCCTCCACATATTAATAAAATATAAAAATAATATCTATTAGAACAGTGAATAGTGGATATTTGATTTAAGTTTTTTGAACCAAGTGGATTCCTAATCAGTTACTTAAACATTAAAATTGAGTCGATGAATATCTAACAAAAAATATAAAAAAACGTAGACATTAATGAATATATTCTTGCTGTCTTAAAGAAAAGCGATAGCTTAATTGGAGATAAAGAGAAATTTTAGGGGGCTCGTTAAAGCCACAAAAACTGGGAAAATAAACAAAGTTAAGCAGAAGTCTAATTCTGCTTTACGTAACACAGATTTTGCTAAAAAATTCTTTTGATGGACCCACATAATCTTGGCATATCTGAACTGTATCCTAGAAGATTTTTGTCAAATATTAATTTATTATATGCATAATGTCAAATGCAAGTACCTACCCTGAATTTTCCAGCAAACTCAGCATCCAAGAAGGATAAAATATAAATAAAAAGGATGTTTTCATGTCTACTTATCCAAGGTATCGCGAATTCAATTCAACACATACCTCATGGCAAAAGATAAGATTAGAAAAACAATGCAAAGTTAATGCTCATTATTACACTGCTTGAAAGCTGATGTAACAACATATGTAGAATCTCCAAAAATATTTGAGTTATATGCTTATTTAAACATAATACTAATGACAAAATTCAAAAGAATATAAAACACCGTGTCAATATATACCAGACATAATCCTTCAATCAAATTCCTCAATAAGAATTTCATGCTACCTGCAATCTGTTTGATCTCAGGTACAGTCAGATCCCGCACCTCATTTCCGTCAAACTTCTTTGTGGTTGAAAATATGATCCTAGAGATGTTTAGATTAAGACCCATTCCAATGGCATCACTGGCCACAAGAACATCAAACTCACTGCTTGCATCATTGAACATGCTTGCCTGCAGTCCTAATGAAACTTTAAACTAAGCAAATTTTTTGCATGGAGGAGGACAAGAGAAGGAAATGAGAAATATTTATCAACATATGGCCAATAAATATATCAGTGAACTAAGGTAAAGCTAAAAGCTATAGACAAAAAGAGAAGGAATTTCCAAACAGCACCGTGAAATAACATTGAAACTGCATAAAATGGTTATGATTAGCATGAACATTTCTGCCAATGAATGAGAAAACACACAAGAGTAAAACAAATGGCAGAATTTTTCCATGAGCCATATAGATTAAATTAACATGAAACAATTGTAATTCAAAAGGAAAACCAAAAACTACTTAAACAGAGGTAGGAGCTCACACCTGCCTTGTTCGAGTCTCTGGTGGAAGTGAACCATAAACTACTGAACAAAGATGCTTTCCTTCTCTTTCAATTCTTTTCTGAGCAATATGAATATCAGCTTTCACTAGTTAGTTTTTAGTGCAGAAACTATAAAAAACATACAATTGAATTTGCACAATTCATTAGCAACTTGCATTATTTATGAGAAAAAATTTCATTGTAAGTGTCATTCTCTTCTTATGCTAACCAAAATGGAGGGGGGGAAATGTAGCTGAGTAAAAAGGTGTTTAATTGACTAATATTTAACTAGATAAAGCTAACACTGGCACTGTATCTATTATCCCCATTCCATATATAATGTTAATGAAAATAGCATCAGGAACATGGTTAAAATGATTGAAGACTAATGGTTAAGAGAGTGTTAATGACTAATAGAGGGGAAACAACACTGTAACTGAATAGCTAGAAAATAGGAGGGTAAAGGGTGGTAGTTAGTAGTTAAGAATTGATTCAAAAGTTGTAAGGAGAGGAGAGTCTTCTAGTTGATGTGGGATCTCCAATAAGTTTTCCTCAACCAATTTTAGACCCAATTGTCCAAGCTTGTGGGTACAAAATTGAAGTACTCTTCAGCTTTACATCCATAAATAGATGGCCAAACCAAGGTAACTAATAGATGCCTTGAGGCAGAGGATAAACCATGTTATTGGCTTAAGTGGTTGTGTTGGCATAAGTTGTTCTGCAGGAGATAAACCGTGCTCTTGGCCTATGTGGTTGCGTTGGGCAGAATTCTAGTTCAATACCAATTTTAATGTCTCCATAGGGATGATTCCTTTCAAGGCATTATATGGAAGGGACCCCCCATCCATCATTAAGTGATCTACTTTTCTATCTACAGTTGAAGCAGTAAACTAATGGGCAGAAAACAGAGATATTGTCCTTGATCAGCTGCAGAAAAATCTGAATGTGAGAATGAAGAAGTATATAAGCATAGCAGGGATGTGCAACTAGAGCAAGGAGATTGGGTGTATCTCAAGGCTGCTCCTTATAGATGGAGGACTTTGGCCAAGAAGAATGAGAAATTGAATCCCAGATTTTATGACCCATTTGAGGTGTTGACAAGAATAGGTCCAGTGGAATATAAACTCTCATTACCTGTTAAATGTAAGATCCATCCAGTGTTCCATGTTTGCAAGCTGAAGAAAACAATTCCAGTTGAGTATCAACAGCAACAACTTCCAGCTCCTTTGACTGAGGATTGGGAAATTCTACCTCAATTGGAAGATATCCTGCAGCTGTGTTACAAGAGAGGGGGGCAAAGTGAGCTCGGCTACCTGATTGGACAACTCATGGGAAATAGTTCCAGACCTTGAACTTCAATTTCCAGATTTTCACCTTGAGGACAAGGTGAAAGTTTTTGGGAGAGTATTGATAGGAGACCAGTGGTTAATAGAGTGTATGTAAGGACAGATAGAGGGGCAACACAACTTTAACTGAATAGCTTATAAATAGAAGGATAAGGGAAGGTAGTCAGTAGCTAAGAATTGATTCAGAAGTTGTAAGGAGAGGAGAGGTCTCTCGGCCTCATTGTATGCCTTGGTCAACTGATAAATAGACATTTAATAAAATGCAGCTCACTGCCTTGATCTTTTTTCCAAAATCTTGCATTCTATCAGTTGAATCCTATCATAAAAACATTTAGGTTCAGATGTTCAATTAGAAAGATCAAAGATTGGAGTCAATTAAGATCTGACTCTAGTCATGACTTGCAAATTATATCATAGTCGAGATCAGACAACCACAATCCAGTTCTCACTAAAGTCAGTAAAGATTCAACTTTGTAGGGGGGAGAATGCATAGTGCACAAACAAATCTATAATCAAAGACAAGCTCATTACTGTTGTAAATTCATACGTTTCAAATCAGTAAAAGAAAAATAAATGTTTCCACAAGTTACCACCTTATTTTTTGGTATCCCATTCCAAAGCCAAGAAACAAATTGCCAATTTTTTGGTCATTTCCATCACTTTGATTATTGTTCGCTTTCATTACAGTTAAAACAAGTCAGTAAAAGAGTTTAAACACCAACTTCTTCTTTAGACCAGGTACCACATCTAAGTTTTTGCTTAATTCAGCAGAAGAGTCAGCAGCTTTATAAAAGTTTATCCAAGTAAAAATATGGATTTTTGTAAAATAGAGAAAACTAAAGAGGCAAATTACTGAAACAAGTAACAACGTTTGGTAAATTGTTGAAGTTCGATGTAGATTTCATTTATGTCCAAAATAGATTCCTAAAAAATGGATGACCTTTCTTTCTGAAGTATTTAATGTGACAATCAAAAGGGAACAACATATGTGCAAATGGATAGCCATTAAAGTTTGGGCATAAAACAAAATATGAAAGCGTACAAGTTTCATATCAAGAGTAGTTAAACATGTAAAAGTTCACCTTCAATCTGTATATCTCCTGACGTGAAAAGGTTACAATGCAATCACCATTTCTTACATTAGAGAAAGATCCTAGAGGAACATTCAGTGGGATTAAAGGTGACAGTCTCTCATAAAATTGAACCTGAAGCACTCGTGAAGAAAACTTTGTTAGAGGACATTGACAACAGTTGGTCTAATGCATATGCTCCCCTCCCATCCCCCACAAAAAAATGTTGTTCTTGATGTTGTTCAGAGACTTAATAAAAGACATGAGTTCAGTACCTCAACTTCATCACCAGTAAATTTCAATATCTCCTGAATAAGGGGAACAGCAGCCGGATCACCACAAAGGTGAAGTTCATCAGCAGCAATTCCTAATAGAGCACGTGTAAATGAATATCCCCTTGTAGTACACCCTATCATCTGGATGCATACAGAGAGATAAAAGTTAGATGGGGAAAAAAAATCACAATTACAAGCACACCATGGAATCATGAGATATAGAATAACAACTAAGCCCACAATGCCATCAACACCTCCTCAAATCTAGATGTTTCAGTCATTCCAAATCTCAATTAGTAATACTGCTAAATTGAACAAGTGACACACAAAGATTGTGTGATAAGAGCAAAAGGTTATATCCTTTTCTGAAATTTATTTATGTTGGTTCACATAAACCAAATAATTCTAGGAATTACTTTATATATAATACAAAAAAGGAATCTCCAAATGAAAATTTTACTTGCCTGAATTTCATCAATAACAGCACATTGATAATTAGCTGATACATCAGCCATTTCAACAGTGACAGCTTTGTGATTTGCACCGTCAACTTCCTCTCTTTCCTGGCCTGTAATGAGATCACAAGGAACTTGTGCCTTGTTCAACCGTTTTGCTATCTCCCATGCCAACAATCTTAAAGGACCACAATATACACCTGCAATGACCACAATTTACTAAGTTTTCAGCACATTATTGTTTGCCTTTACATTGCAAAAGAAGGATAACTTACCAGAAGCACTTGACTCAAGCTGCTTCAAGGCATGATGTGTTTTACCACTATTTGTTGGACCAACATGTAGGATAACCCTACGATGTTTCATTCGGGCCAGTGGATACCATGTATGAGGGCAGCTAAAACAACCAGTAATTAAGCGTCAGCATTCAGAAACATTAAATGTAACTAAAAATTACAATGTCATAGAGTTTTATAATCACATACAAGTTGTTTCAAGAGCTTTAGAGAGTAAACAACAACTTTTACTTCCAAACTGATAAAATATGGGCCATATATTTACTTACGTCAAGTCAGTAAAATCATTTCTGACAGGACCACTAGAGCTGCTATATAGATGCACCATGTTTGCAGCACCACCTACACTTTGAAACTTGAACTGAAAGTATAGACGAAAAAGCTCCTTGTTACCTGGATGTGCCATAATTCCATACAAACAACAAAAGTAAGTCAAACGAGGAAAAGCAAAGGACATGTCGAATTCAGCGTTTCAATCGTTCCAAGTTCAAGGGGAGAAAAATCAAAAGAATATACTCGATTGGTGACATCCAAAATGAATAAAATTAGTCCTTAAATCATTAGTTGGGAACTCGGTCATGCAGCCAATGGTTCTAAATGATGAGAAAGGTATATAGTTAAAACTCAACTGTAAAAGAAAATCGTGGTGATAGTTTGAACCATCTGTTATGCTCAATACCCAATAATAATTCAGAATATTTGGTGGTAAAATTTTAAGCAAAAGCAAAAATGCAGAGAAAGAATAAGAAATAGAGAAAGCGAAAGGGGGAGGGAGCGAACCGAGGAGAGAGCGAGCGAATAGGTTGCGGTTGCTGCGAAGAAGAAAGGAAGCCATTGTTGAGAAGAGAGTGTGAAGGTGAAGTCGGATAGAAAAGGGTCAAATGGAAGGAGAATGGGGTAAGAAAGGAAGTAGAATAGAAGAAGAAAGGAATGGATTGCTGTGGATGGATCGAAAAAGTTGCTTCCTTTGACCATACAACCTGCGACCCTCACTCCCCGCCACTTCCACCTCTCACCACCACTCTCTCCATAAATAAAAAACAGTGTTAATTATAACCTACACTATTTCATTATTTAACTTCAAACTTCTTCTTTTTTTTAATTCATTCTCTCCTCTCCCTCTTTTTTCTTTTACTCCCTCAATTTAATTTATTGGTGTGTGAAAATTCCACCATAACTTAAATCAAAATCCAAAAGGAAAGAAAAACAAGAAAAAAAAAAACATAAAGTTATGTTTATTTATTGGTGTTTCACAAATTATCTTTACTAGAATTATTATCCTAAAATCACCAAAAGAAATTTGGGATTATATGAAAAAAAAATGAAAGGATGAAAAGATTCGAGTATAAAAGTTTTAACTTGATAAGGGACGGAATTTAAGATACAAAGAATGCAAGAGTGTGAGACAATTAAGTTATATTTAAATAAATTATTAAGTATTACTAACAAAATAAAATTGTTAGGTAAGGAATTTTTAGATTCTAGACTAGTTAAGAAATTTTTGCTAATTATGCTAGAGAGATATGAAACCTTTATTACTTAATTGAAAAACACAAAGAATTTATCTAAATTTACTTTAATAGAAGTGTTACATAATTTATAAGGACAAGAGTAACACAAATTAATAAGAGGAGATCATGTTGTACTCCTAAAGGTTCCGTCCAAGAAAAAAATTACAAAGGTAACAAATAACTTATTTTTCCTATTACAATAAAAATAATAAGTTACTGCAATAAGTGCTTGGTGGAGACTTGATATTAAATATCATAGATGCGGTCAATTATGATATGTAAATAGTAACAATAAGGAGTTGGTTATAAAAAATGGAGTAAAAGGAAAATTTTTCTACAACCAATAAATCCACATGTTGGCGTATAGACATTGGTTATATAAATCACATACTTGTGATCAATTTTTTTCAAAAAACACAACTAATTTGTTATTTCTAAAGTGGTTAATTTTTTATGTCTTTTATATATGTGATATTAACTAAAATTTGTTAAGTGTTACTCAATTATTGAAGACAAATTATAAAATATCTTTTGAAAGCAAACTTTGTATAATTAAAATATGCACATAACTTTGGAATATTCAAAATTCACATGAGATATAGAAATTGTACTTTAAATTTGATGAAAAAGAAGTTGATTACAAATGAAGATATAAAAGAAAAAAACAAAATAAAAATATAATAGATATTTCTTGAAAAACTTGATGTTAAGGATGAAAATGAAAATGTGGATGAAATTTTTTTTTCCAAATCCAATGTTCATCAAAGATTCAATGTGACTACCATGGATTTTACAATAAATAATGGAGATGAAATTGATAAAGGAACAAATATATTGATGAAAAAACAGTGATATTGAGTGAAGATGAGTGATCTCATAAAAAAAATGACAAGAATTACAAATAAAATGTTAGGCCTAGGAAGAAGAGTGTCTTAATCTCATTTTTGTTATGATAGAATAATTATTTATGTTCGAGGTATTATTCGTTTTTGAATTATAGTCTATCATGTTAGATTAAGAGAAAATGGTGCATATAAATTATTATTGACCTCAACTCCAAAAGGATGTGAAACTCATGAATGTAGCCAGTGGCGGATCTTCTTGGGAGCTGAGGGGGGTCGTAACCCCCCAAAGTTTTGTAACTCCCATGTAATTTATGATTTTGACCCCCCAAACTTAATAAACATTTAATATATTTACTTGTTTATTTAAAATTTTATCCTCTCAGTCACTCCTAACTCATATAATTTATTATTTTGTCCCCATCAAACTTAATGATCATTTAATATATTTAAGTTTATATCTACAATTTTATCCTTTCACCCTTTTATCTTTTTTGTTTTATATTTATTTATTATTTATTAATAATATATTATTTGGCTCATTCAAGATCAATGTTTAAGATCTATCACTTGAATATAACATTCATATACAAAAATAAATCTTCATAATTCAAATACGGTTTCATCTAAACTCGATCATAAAATTCAATAATATCATACTTTACATCAGAATCAATACAAACACCATACATTTTACAAATATATTCTACATAAGATGTGAAAATAGATTAACAATAATTCACCTCTCTAAAAACTCAATTGTACTTGAGATTATAGATTGGAGGGAATCTACCCTTACTATTTTTCACTAAGAACTAAGACCTATTATTGCAACCTATAAGAGATCATAAGAATTTTTTTATTTATTTTTCTTTTAGTTGTCTCATAACTTATAAGATGCATCTCACAATAACCTACTAAAAGTTCAACCAAATTATTAAATTTAGACGAAGAAGACATAATAAAGACGTACGTACCTAAAGATTGGGATCTCTTTATTAATGATATGTTAGAGGTATTTTCTCACTCAAAATATATATCCTATCATACTTAGTATAATAAAAACTTATACAACTAAAAAAAAATAATATAAGCTGGTGGAATTATAATTCATACATCAGTTTGAAGAATTATAATTCATACATCTTCATTACAAGAGACTTCCAAATAAATGGCCAAATTTCATATTATTATAATAAAAATATTATCCAAAATTAATACATCTTAAATGGGTATAATAACACATATAAGTCAGTAAAGACAAATTATTAATATTTTTATTATCTAAAATATCTTTTGTAAAAAATTTATAAATTATCTTATCTATATAATAATATTCTTATTACTTACTTAAACATAAGTGTTTACTAACATAAACCTCTCATCTATTTTCAATTAATGATATAACTTATCCAATACTTAGTCCAATAATTGTTCTTGATTAAATTAGTGTATTCGAGTTATCGTAGTCAACGTGTTTGAAATATTTAAGCAATTTATTTTTTCTTTCCTTTGATATTTTTTACAAAAACAAAAATAAAAAAATCAAATATAAAAAAATATTAAAATTAAAAACATATTACAAATATATATTTTATTATTATTTATTATTTTTAGTAATTATAATTAAAATATTATTAATATTTTATATTTTATCATATTTTTAATATATATATATATATATATATATATGTATTATAAATAAAAGATATATCTAAAAAAATACACATTTACAAAAATCTGTCACCTTCATTTCCATTTTTTTTTTTATCAATTGTAATGATTGAAACCTGACCTAAACGCAACTAAAATTATTGAACCCGACCATCGTTGAATTTGTTCATGATGAATTTGAATGTAATCATAATATTAACTAGGATTAAATAAACAAGTTTTATTCTTTTAAAACAAACATATGTTTAAGAATAAGCACATAATGACTACTCTTTGAATGTGAGTCACAAAACCATTCACAACCTTTTACATTCTCCCAACATTTCATCATTTTTTGGACAGTTTTTGTGTAAAGAGGAGAAGAAATAAAGAGAAGGAGAGTGGAAACTAAGAAAAAGAGAGAACAAGAGAAAACTGGAAAAGAAAAAATAAGAAGAAAGAAACAAAGAAAAAAAAAAGTTAACATGATAACTAATGATTATGATTAATGGTATCTTGATAAATAATTTTAAGATAAAATAATATTATTATTAATAAATAAATAAATAAATAACAAAAAGGTAACAAATTTGTGTCGTGTTTTGTGTTCTTTTGTTTTTGGCTTAAACCATAGAACGGTGCAGGAATGTGGACGGATTTTTGGACAAGTACAATAAAGAGACTTTAATTCCATTTTCATGCGTATTAACTGTTAATCTTCTCTTATTTCTATTTTTAAACATACTACTATCTAATTAATCATTAATCATTATTCAAGTATCATTTACATATCAGATCATAAGTAAATCATGATGTTAATAATATTTGACACATTAAAACCTTTTATATCAGTTCGCATGATACTTAATGGAGTAATTTTTTTAATTATATTATACTATTAAAAGTTATAAATTGCTGAACTATATATTACGTTGAAAATGTTAATGAAAATATCAACAAGTTCCTTTAAAATATTTATTAAAATAAAAAAATCCTTGAAATCTTATTATGTTAAATGATTAATATTTTTAATTATACTAATTATTCTTTAATCAAAAGCACTAAATTATACAACTTTTAACATTTTACAATTTTGTGATGCTTTAATTATCATACAATTTAAAACCATATTCACTATTATGTGAATAAATTATCAACTACAAAGCATGCACATAATCACCAAAAGTTGACTTCAGTATTATTTTTATAGTTTTTGGACAGTTTTATCATTCAGTATTAATATAGAATGAGGTGGTAAAACTTATTTTAATATATCATTTTTTATTTATTATTGAAAAAATTGTCCTGCTAAAAAAATATTATTTTTTGTTATATTTAAATTTTTTTGCTAAATAATTAATAATTAAAGATTTACCTGTGGTAAGTATGGAGAGCGGCATGAGTTACTAAGATGTTGGTGGCGGCTATGTTTATGTCGGAATGCATGTATGGTGTGACGTCACACAATCGTTAGGTCAACGTAAACAAAGTTGACTACTGCAACTCAATGGCACACGTCATCCTCAACTCTCCCCTTCTCCTTCTTCCGGTCCCTATATAACTACACACCCTTCACCTCCATTTTCCACTTCAATTTCAAATCCATACCCAATCACCTTCAACCCTCACATCCTCCACACATGGCTGCTCCCGCCACTTCCCACCAATCAATTCCTCTTATTACTCCCTACAGGATCGGAAAATTGGATCTTTCTCATAGGTATCTGTGTCACTTCATTTCTCCCCTCCATTCTTCAATTCATTTTCCAACTATATTCAATTCAATTCAATTCAATTTTTGTTTTCAGAGTTGTGTTGGCACCACTCACCAGGCAGCGATCCTACAAAAACGTTCCCCAACCCCATGCCGTCCTCTATTATTCTCAGAGAACCTCCAATGGCGGCCTTCTCATTGCCGAAGCCACTGGCGTTTCTGATACCGCTCAAGGGTATTTTTATTCTTATTCTCATTTCTGCTAGTCATCTTCGTATTTCTTGCTACTGTTATATACACACACACACCGAAACTCCCTTTTCGCCAGATGACAATTAACACATGTCATTCTCGTCTCACTGTGTGAAGGTATCCCGACACGCCTGGCATATGGACGAAAGAGCAAGTGGAAGCATGGAAACCCATCGTCGATGCCGTTCATGCCAAAGGCGGTATCTTCTTTTGTCAGATTTGGCACGTAGGAAGGGTTTCAAATCCAGGTTTTTTTTTTTTTTTTTTTCCATATTCAAATGATTTTATTCCAAGTTCAATACGGTTGTTGTGTTGATTGATTATCGAGTGAGTAAAACTCTACATTCTGGTTTTTTTACAGCTTATCAGCCAAATGGACAAGCACCCATATCATCTACGGACAAGCCACTCAAACCACAAATGCGAAGTAACGGCATTGATACAGTGCAATTCACTCCACCACGGCGCCTACGTACCGATGAAATTCCTCAAATTGTCAATAACTTCAGACTTGCTGCAAGGAATGCCATCGAAGCAGGTGATAAATATTCCCTTCACATTCGCTCCTACAAATGTTTCAAAATTCCCTTTTTCATCGTTTCACAAACTAGACTAACCTGCCTGTGGTTGTGTGCAATTTGTAGGTTTTGATGGGGTTGAGATCCATGGGGCACATGGCTACCTACTTGAGCAATTTATGAAAGACGGGGTGAATGACCGAACAGATGAATACGGTGGATCCCTTGAGAACCGGTGCCGATTTCCTTTGGAGGTTGTTGAAGCTGTTGTTAACGAGATAGGAGCGGATAGAGTTGGAATTAGGTTATCTCCTTTTGCAGAATATGCAGATAGTATCGACTCAAATCCCAAACAATTGGGCCTTTACATGGTTAATGCCCTCAATAAATATGGTATTCTGTACTGTCACATGGTGGAGCCGAGAATAAAAAATGGTGTAGAACAGGTTGAATGCCCTAACAGCCTGGTGCCTATGAGAAAGGCCTTCAATGGCACTTTTATAGCTGCTGGTGGTTATGACCGGGAAGATGGGAACAATGCCATAGCTGAAAACAGGGCTGATCTTGTTGCCTATGGTCGATTGTTCTTGGCTAATCCAGATTTGCCAAAGAGATTTGCTCTCAATGCTCCTCTGAACAAGTATAATCGTGAGACATTCTACATTAGCGATCCGGTTCTTGGGTACACTGACTACCCTTTTCTAGATGAAGAACCCAACGGTGTAGCATCCTAGGGTTTTTACTAACCTTTTCTTCCCCTGCACTGCAAATTCTTAGCTATTAGAAATTTGGTTGGTCAGATTTTCGTTCACGTATTCTTCAGATACTCCTCTGCTGTGGCTTTTTGGATCCAGTTGACACATCTTATAAGTTGTAAGGGCGTGTAGTATGTATGTAGAACTGTTATTGTTTTAATAATGTTGCTAGATTCCAAAATGTCGCCCAAAATCTATTGCTTAACATGGTTTTAGAACCTTATCAATGTTTTCCATATCAAAGAGTAAAGTAATATTCTGCCTCTGTGGCAAAAAATTCACCAACCTACACTCCATGTCCTCATACCTAATTTTGGCATAAGACAAAAAGTAAAACCTATTCTCTTACTTCTATGACACCTCAACACTTAATGTCTATTTTCCATATAAAATTCGTCAATCATAACTTTAATCTATATTTTTAGCTCATGCCATTTTGAAGGTTGAATATTGAGTAATTTCTTTTAAAAAAATCAAATTAATGGGATAGGAAATGAAAAATCAAACTCTTCTTGAGAATGAGGCATCAAGGAATTGCACATCCAAACACGAAGAATGACATTAAAAACGGAAACAATACAAAGAAATTAAATCGATTAGTCAAATAGTTTTGAAAAAAATGCACTCACTCATTTAATTTTGAAAACTTTTATTATTTTATACACGTAAATTACCAAAAATGTTATAATTAAAATAAAATAAAAACCATTAAGAATTGTTGTTGAAAAAGCCCACTAACATCTTGGGCACATAATGTGCCAGCAGTGTCGCAACCATGAAAAAGGCTTATTCAATAACCATAGGTGGCCCAAATCTCTTTACTCTTTCGCTACCCAATTTTTCACTTAACAAATTAATTTGCCTCAATTCAGACCAATGGCGACATTAAGTACCCATAAACGCAACCCTACTCTTAGATTCCCACGAAAAGGAAAAGAATAGAGTGATGGTAGCACATTTTTTAAATAGAGCTTTATAGAATGTAATTTTTTTTAATTTTAAATAATCGATTGTAGAATCTATACTAAAATATTTATTTTTATTTTTAACCTCCTATTTGAGGATTCACAAATAGGAATATAATGTATCTATCTTGAGCAAAAAAAAGGATTCCAATTTGCCTCCCCATTGATGCGACTTGCTTCAACCAAGCACCTTTACTTTTATTTGCATTAATTTCATTCTTCACTACTAGAGCCCCAACAATCACACCATGTTTTAAATTTAATCGTGAGCCAACGATGCCAAAAGCTCGTTGTGGTTTTGACATAGTTCATTGCTCCGTTGAATGCTCGAGGAATTCAAAAGCAGCTGCTTGGACGGCGCCCAAGACTGCAAAGAAAATACTCAAAATGATTCTATTTTTTACTTTTTCCACTGATTCAATGGAGCCTCCCTCCCAATGCATAAATGGCTCAGCACTAATCCCATACAAGTGTTTTTTTTTCTTTATAGAACTTGTGTCTCACATATATGTAATCATATTTTTATCTGAGATTTACTAGGTTCTAGGCTTTCCAACTAAAACATCAAACTTTTGTTATGTGAATCTCACAACTTTATATATCTATATCATCATTCACCATACCTATCTATCTATGCAAGTAAAAACAAATCTATAAAGTCATGATATTAAGATGGGAAATGCGACAAAGACAAAGAAAAAAATCAATTATTGGAGGGATTTCATTCGCATACGCTGCAAATTTTAATTTTTATTCACTCATAAGCAGCATGCAATACTATACAAGCATAGTTCGGCTACAAACATTCCTTCTCTAACAAAAGACGAAACAAAATAATATACACACATTCTACATATAGAATAGATATATTCACAACCACCCTTTTATGTTTTTCCTCGTTCAACTGCTTTTGCTTTGGTTGAAAGACCAAAACGGGAAAAAAGATTACAGCTATAAGATACTGCCAGATCTCACTCACTTTGCTGACCAGGGGCAGTCTTTGTTCATCTGACTGAAACGTTTTATGTTGAGAAACTTTAAAGCTAAACGACCTGCTCGTTGCCCCCTTCATGTTTTCCTTGTCTTTCTTTAACTGAGAGGTTATAATTTGAAAAAAGAAATATATTTAACCCTGACAGTGCTTTATTCTGTTCAAATTTGATACTTTGATGTTGTTGTTGTTGTTGCAGAGAACGAGGCACTATCTTTTTTCCAAGAGAGAGAAACACAGCTTGAAGCTCTCTCTCCATTGCTTTGTTTGTCGCCTTGTCTTGTTCCACATCTGAATTTCATCTCACTCAATGCCATTAAATACTTAAAGGCTTTGCCTCTCTTTCTAGTTGGTTGCGTATTTACGGGCACCTTGTTTCCTTTTTCTTTCATTTTTAAGACTGTGGCTGTGGCATCACAAGAGGGAAGCAAAACAACACATTCACCTATTTTGCTTCGCTCCTTACCTTCTTTGATTCTTTGTTGTTCTCAAGTTGAGAAGCTGAGCACCAGATGAGAGCGTGTTATTGTTTCTATTCTCTCAAAGTTAGAGAGTGAAAATCAAACAAAGGGGTTTCACAAGAAGGGAATTTTGTTCCTTCGATTGTTGAGGTAGCTCTTGTAGTACAACATAGCATACTTGAAGGCTGTGTGAGATAGAAGATTAACAATGAGAGACGAGAATTCCAAGAAAAACAAGGTTTTACACTTGTCCTCGACTCAACTCTGCTCTTGAAAAATGATTTTTCTCCTCTCATTTATCGTTTTTGTTATTATGTTCTCCTGGGAGTTGAAATGCAACATTTTTGTTATCATTTACATCTTTCAACTTTTGCAACTTGTTGATTGTTGTGCGTTTGGGCCTTGTGAAGCTCTCATGGTCGAAGAGAATGGTCAGAAAATTCTTCAATATCAAAAGCAAAGCGGAGGACTCATACCAATCAAATGGTGTGGCTTATGGAGGTGGTGTCTTTGTTTCGTTTTCTTCAAAAAATTTACTTTCCAAGAATGACCGTTTTCAACTGACACTGGGCACCAACACACACATGCTTCCACCCAATGAGATGCAAACCCATTGTGGTGTAGAATTTAAGGGAAGTATGACAACAATTAACACCATTCAGGAAAAAATAAATTGAAGCTTAACTTTTGGCCAATTTTGTTGTTATAAATCTATGGCGAAGTTTGCAAAATGTTGATTGTATTTTTCTTTCTCCATGATTTTTAACCTCTTTATGAATTATAATTTGATGCCTTGTAACTTAATTTCTTCTCCAGGAGGTGATGTAGCATACAGAAGCAGGAAAAGCTTCTCCGAGAGAGAGCCTTGCACAATCAAAAAGAGCAAAACAGGTACATAATTGTGATTTACCCAAATCCTTTCTTTGAATGATTACCCACTTGAGAATTCTTCTTCCTTTTCTCTTCTTCCTGTTTATTTGTTTACAACCCCTCGTTATAATGTGCAGAGAAGTTTAGCCGGAACAACAGGGAGCAGGTGAGGCGAGGAAGAGTTAGTCTTGACCATCCTCGAATTGTCGATATCCATAACTATAGGTATGCTATTTCTTCGACTTTACTTTCTCACCAGGAAAAACCAATCTTGCTTTATGAGTTCAATATCTCACGAGTGCTTCGCTTGCTTTATGAGCAGCATTTTTGTTGCTACATGGAATGTTGCTGGAAGATCCCCGCCAAGTAATTTGGGTATAGATGATTGGCTTCATGCCTCACCACCTGCAGATATTTATGTTCTTGGGTAGGATTTGGTTCTAGTTAATGCCTTGTCTTTTCCAAACAAACTTAGTACTAGTATTTGCTAATGAGTTACAAATCATGTGTTACAGATTTCAAGAGGTAGTTCCCTTGAATGTTGGTAATATCTTAGGCGCTGAAGACAATGGGCCTGCCAAAAAATGGCTAGGTCTCATTGGAAGGACCTTAAACAATCTTCCCGGTTCTAATGGAGGTGGTGCGTATTATACACCATCTCCAATACCTCAGCCGGTGGTAGAATCAAATGTAGATTTTGAAGGATCAACTAGGCAGAAGAATTCATCGTTCTTCCATCGTCGATCGTTCCAGACAACTTCTAGCAGTTGGGGAATGGATAACGATCCTGCAACTATGCAGCCTCAACTAGAACGAAGATTCAGCGTCTGTGATCGTGTGATTTTTGGTCATAGGAAAAGTGACTTTGATCCCAGTTTTAGATGGGGTTATAGGCCCAGTGACTATTCTAGGGCCAGTGACTACTCCAGACCCAGTGACTATTCAAGATGGAGTTCATCTGATGATGACAATGTCCTTGGAGATTCGCCAAACACAGTCTTATTTTCACCATTGTCTTGTGGTGGACCTGCCTCTACTGAAGATGGATATGTCATGCCAAGGCGTTCCAGGTATTGCCTTGTTGCGAGTAAGCAAATGGTAGGAATATTTCTTACCATATGGGTGAGAAGTGAATTGAAGGATCATGTTCGAAACATGAAAGTATCATGCGTTGGCAGAGGATTGATGGGTTATCTTGGAAATAAGGTAGTTTTAATTAAGCCATCATTGACCTCATTTTAAGTTTTGCTTTCACATATTCATGGAAAATGTGTTGAATACTTGAAATTGGTTCACATGAGAGTTCTTCTGCTTGTTTATTCTCAGGGATCCATCTCAGTTAGCATGTCTCTACATGAAACAAGCTTTTGCTTCGTTTGTAGCCACTTAACCTCCGGACAGAAAGAGGGCGATGAACTACGAAGAAATTCTGATGTGATAGAGATTCTTAAGAAGACAAGGTTTCTTCGTGTACATGATGGTGACAGTGAGAAGTCTCCGGAGACAATCCTTGGGCATGAGTAAGAATTTGCTCGCATACGACTTAATATGACTAATAATATTAGCATTTGATATCATCTTTGCATTTCCCTATTTCACATCATGTTCTAATTTTGGATTCATTTCTTTAGTCGAATTATATGGCTTGGAGACTTGAATTATCGAATTGTCCTCTCCTACCGTTCTGCTAAGGCTCTGGTTGAGATGCAAAACTGGAGAGCATTATTGGAGAACGACCAGGTACACATGTTTTAACTCTTTAGTTTCTAATTCTCTCTTTTACCTTCAACTGGATTGCTGGCAAAACAAAAACAATCAATGTTAATATCCATCCATATCGTTATTTCTGGCAGTTGAGAATAGAGCAGAGAAAAGGTCGTGCATTTGTGGGATGGAATGAAGGGAAGATATATTTCCCTCCAACATACAAATACTCAACTAATTCAGATAGATATGCAGGAGATGATATGCACCCAAAGGAGAAAAGGCGAACACCTGCATGGTAAAATCATCTTCAGTCACCTAACCAAAACAATAAGAATTAAGCAGAAACATCCCAACCCCATAAATGCTAAAATGAGCAACTATGACAGGACTTTTTTTCTGAAATGTTGCAACTTATGCCAATGTGGATATTTTTCTTTATATAGGTGTGACCGTATATTGTGGTATGGAGAAGGTCTGCATCAATTATCTTATGTCCGTGGAGAATCAAGGTTTTCGGACCACAGGCCGGTTTATGGCATATTTTCTGCTGAGGTTGAGACAAGTCATGGAAGGTTGAAGAAAAGTATGAGTTGTTCTCGGAACAAAATTGAGGTGGAGGAACTCTTGCCATATTCCCATGGATATACTGAACTAAGTTTTTTCTAGTGGATGGAGGACTAGATATAGGATTTCAGGTACATTGTCTATCTCTTATGTTTATACTCACAATATTCTTGCTTGTATGACAAACTTAGGAACCGGAAATGATTTTTTTTTTTTTTTTAATTTATTCATGTGGGATGTGTAAAGCAATCCCCTTCCCTTCCCCAAAGGCCTGTTCTATGCCATTAGTTGTCTCTTTCTTTTCTACATACACAAACTGATTTCATGCATCCGTAAGCCAAAAAAATCAGAATATGTTCACTGCAGAGTCTGATCAGTCTATGTCTCAATCTTTTCTGCTTTTATGTCCTTTTTCCCCTGTTATTGTCATCACAATTATGTACCCCGTATGAATACAAAATCTTATCTGCATGCACCTATTGCTGTTCAGCACTTGGTCAACAAGCGGGGGTCACCTCACTTTGAAGAATTTTTATCCATGGAGTTTGATAGAGACCACCCATTTCCCACTTACCGAAAAAGGTTAGTTTAGTTTTTACTTTTCTCTTACATGCTTTTCTTGGTTCTGCTTTTGGCCTCAACCTCTGTTGTCTAATTTTAACTTTACTTTTTCATTGTGAGGTGCTAACATGTAATTTTGTTATGCAGTCATGCCTTGCCTAACACATGATGAGTACACAGTTCCTCCTCCTCCTCCTCATCATCATCGTCGTTTCGTTAGCATCTCACGCCAGCCAAGTACTGTGCAAGTGTGCATTATTTGATAGCCAATTAACAAACACTCAAATTTACAATGTCTCAGAACTCCCTACGTTCATTGGCAGTTGCACAATCATTAGGTACCACATTTATTCTTTTCTTATTAATGGTGCCTTCAGTTTCTATAAATTACTAGTGATACGCACGCCGCACGCATACTCATGATCAAAGCTTTTCTTTCTTCCTTTTTTGTTGTGCAGGAGGCGGAAAGAGACAATTTTTTATTTAATTAATGATTCTTTAATTGTTTTTGGAGAACATTCATGATGACTGAATGAAGTTGAAATCATCGTCAAAATAATCATTAGGTTACCAACTTTTTTCGTTCCAAAGAAAATGAGAATTTTGACGTATACTCCATATATTGATTGCTATAGTGATGAAAAAAAGAGAGAGTTGTAGTTAATTATTGACAGAATTCCAGAGCCTCCACTCCTCAATTTCTGACTCTTGCCACATGATTAATGATTTTACTGATAAGTGTGTCTTTGATATCAAATAATACTCCTCGCCTGCTGCGTGCTCTTCTTTTTTATTGTTCAAATCATTAACAAACTAAAATGGCTTTTTACATGTTTCAAAAGTCTATGGAGATTTCGATTGAAATGGCTTTTTACATGATCTTTCTTGTCTGAAATGCTACTTATCATGGCAGTGTGCATTCGAGAAATAAGGATGGCCAAGGAAAAACTAATGAAGCATTAACAATTAGACATGGATAGCAGAGAAAAATTTGGTTGGAAAATCCTATTGTGAGCAATTGAAATAAGTTTCTTGCAAACTATCTCGAAACTCAGTATACACACGATTCTAGAAAATTTAATGAAAAAACTTATGTAGTGTAGGCATTGTTAGACTTGTAAAAGCAAGAACATTGATTGAAGTTTTAGAACAAGGAGAAGAAAGCTAAAGCAATTATAGCAGTAAATTTAATGAGATTTTGGTAGGCAAAAAAAGGAGAAAGAAAGGTTTAATGATGGTTTCTAATTATAGTGTTCTACTTTTCATCAAATTTGTTGTTGAAGAAGCATTCAAAATAATGAGTGGCTTGCATGTGTTATGAGAGTGTTCTTTGTGACCTTTGTTTTGTTGTTGCGGGTGGGGAACTACTTCAAAGAAAGTGAGCTTGGCATGGTGCATATGAACTGTAAAAGGTCCATTTGTCATATGACTTTTCCAAGTGTAGTCTAATTGTACAGCCAGAAGGGCCATTTTGTAAGACTTTTGCTTTGTAGTTCGGATCCAGCCAGTCTCTTTTCATCTGTTCTGTGACTCATATCATATAACTTGTGGAGGACCACACCTTTTGTGAAACTACAATATTCCAATACTTAAAATTTTGACTCTGGACAAATTGTCACAGAGAATTGAGTTGAAGCCTAATTGTAGCCAACATGTGTTCCCTTTGCATAACTTTTCATCAAATTTGTTGTTGAAGTAGCATTTAGCTGGAATATAATTTTTTCTATTTACTTTCATCAAAAAAGTATTCAACAATCTTTCTATATATATATATATATATATATTAACTTTTTAACTTTTGTTTTACTGTGAGTGAAGGTAGTCACAATCTTGTACTCCAAACGGAAGAAAAATATTGATAAAATATTTGTAAAATAGATTAGTCTAAATTTTAATTTTTAAAGTTATATATTTTATAGAATGCCAATGTCTTACCTTATTTAGGTTACTTTGTTATTATGTCATTTTTGTTTAAAATAGTAGTTTTTTCTTAGCGATACATGCAGAATAGCTAACAATAAATACATCAATGAGTATTAAAAATTAAATGAAAGACAACAACAAATTCAAATTTCACAGTGAATAACCATGAAGCAAAAGGGGAAATATTCACATTAAACCTAATTTTTAAATTTCAAACTTGAATCTATTATTATTTGAATGTCTTCAGAAATCATGCACAAAAATTGTGTGCATGCATAAAACTATAAATCTACGTAAATTTCACGATTGAAGAAAAAATAATCTGTTAATTCTACAAAAGTAGTAAATCTTAAAAAAAAAAGGAAAATTTCTACCTAACAAATGTACCGACATTTGACCCAACTATAAATCCTAAGCATGCGTCTGACTTAACAAACCCTAGAAAAAGGAAATTTATAAAATAACATTACTAGAACCATAAATTTGGTTTTGCCAAAGCATATATCTTCAAATTTGGTGTGAGAAAAGGCATATTCAAAAAGTAAAACAAAATTCAAAGAGTCTTTGTAAATGTGAGTGTGAGAAAGAAAAAGAAAGCGTGAGATGAAGTTGAATGGAGAGGAAGAAGAAAGTGTGAGATGAGAATACTAGTTTTCATTTAATACTTCAAAATTGAAACCATTTTCTAAATCACGGTGGAATTGGTAAATAAACTTAATTTTAAGTTTCTTAATAATCCTAATTATCGTAAACGTAGAATAAACTTCAAAATCAATACTCTATTAAAAAATGATGCTTAAATTGATAAATAAACTCATTTTTAGGGTTGTTAGTAACTCTAATCGCTATAAATGCAAAAAAAAAAATTGAAAATTGTAACCATTTTGAAGATGATGCTGAAATCGATAATTAAACCTCATTTTAGGGTTTTTGATAATCTTAATCATTATATATTGAAATTATTACTGGAAAAGGTAAACAAAACAAAATTTGAAACTCACAAGCATAATGATTGGTTTGGATCAGAGAGTGGATTGGAGGGAGTGAAAAAGAAGAGAAAGATAGTAGAAAACAAGGTTGTTTTGATTAAGAGAAAGAATGTGGGAAATGAAGAAAAAAATTGAATAAAAAGATTGTAGATTATAAAATTGATGTGATTTAATAAAAAAAATAAAATAATAAGATAAAAAGTATATTGACCAAAATACCCTTATTATTGATTGTAAGTAAAATAAGTATAAATTAAAATTGTAATGTAATATAATAATATAAATTAATAATTTATATTATAGATAAAAATTTAAACATATTAAAATTAATTTATATTTAAATTATAAAAGTAATTTGTGATATTATAGAAATATTAGATTTTAATTTTTATAATTATAAAAATTGAGAAGTAATTTTCAATTTTTTTAAAAATATTATTTGAAAAATTATTTAAAAATAAATTTTAAGTTATTTAAATAAATAATTAATTAAAAAAAACAAAATATAATAAAAAGGATCACAATAATAAAAAAATTATATATTAAAATTACATTATTAAAAAAAATTAAATTTATTAATAATTTACATTATAGCATTAAAATATTTAAGTTCATTAAAAATTTATTTAAATATTTTTAATTTTATTATAAATAAAAAATATAAAAATATTTTTATATTTCAATATTAATTCATATGTAATAAATATAATAATATATTTTTTAATATAATCGATTACTGGTATCTATATAATCAATTATTTCATATAATTGATTATATATTTATAGTAAATTATTATAATATAAATAATTTTAAAAAATAATGTATTTTTAATATATATATATATATATATAATATTTTATTTAAAATAATTTATTATTAGAATTAATTAATCAAAATATTTTATAATGTAATATATCTATAAAAAGGATAATTAAGGAAAACAAAAGATACTTTATATCTTTTCCAACAAGTGCATTTCCATTAAAACAAATTTGGTAACTTTTATACCATTCGCGTTTCCTATTCTTCGACTACACTAAATAACCGAAACAAACACATATTAAAAGTAAAATTGACAAATCAACAAAATTTAATGATTTTAAGTCACAACAAATGCATGGACCGATGCTCAGGTTTGACCACAACAAAGTGATACTTTTTTTTGGAACATGGATGAATGAGTAAGTGAAGAAAATTGCAGAGTGTTTTCTTTTTTTTGTTTGAGATATTGATTTTGCACAGAAGAAATAAGATTAAGTTTAGGGGTGACAAAATGAATCAGCCTGGTCCGTTTTGGCCCGTCCCATCTTTGACCAGTTAAAAGTGGGAGCAGACGAGTTGACCCATTATAATCATGACGGACGGTAGACTTTGGTTTGTTACGTCAAGGGGCGGATTGACGGGTTGATGGGTTGACCTACCATAATTTAAAAAAAAATAATTTATTTTTTATAATAATTTTTTTAATAAATTTAATAATAAGATCATTATTTGTTTGTTAATAATTCAATATATATTATTTCAATTTAATAATATAAATCAATACATTATTTTAAGAAATTATAATTTAGAACAATAATAAAATTTACATAACAATAAATAATAACAAATATATATATATATATATAATTAAAACTTATAAAATTTATATTTTTTATATTAAAAAATTTAAATACATATATATTTTTTATTTGATAAAATTTCACATTATTTTTGGTTGAGTAATTCTTACACCTTTAATTCAAGTCATAAAGATAAAAATAATCAGTATTTAAGATGAACAAGGAGAGCGAGAAAAGAGAATGTTGTGTTTCAGTAAGAAAAATATTTTATGTGAGAGTGAAAATTTTTTAATTTTCATTTTAAAAATTTTAACTTTATATATTATATTTATAATTAATTTTATTATAATAAAAATTTATTTTTTTATTAATTAAGTGGGTTGCGGAGTGACTCACCCATCGTATAAATTGGTCCGACGAGTTGGTGAATTTGACCGGATAACCAAATCGGATTGGTGGAGTAAAAAGATATCCTATCCAATCATATTATGTCGAGCTGCAGACCTGCCCATTGAGCTATTTTGCCATCCTAATTAAGTTTGTGCAGCTATGAGAGTAACAGAGGATAAATGACAAAAGGTTTGAGTAAGGAGAATGTGTAATGAGTGAGAGAATGATAAATACATGTGATGAGAAAGTGAGAGAATGATAAATACAAGTGATGAGAAGGTGAAAAAAAACGAGAAAGTTATTTTTATTTTTTTTTCTAAAAGTGGTATTCTAAATAGTTTAATTTAGTTTTGATATTTCGTAATATGACACGTGTCATTGATAACTTCAATCGTATATAGTACATATAGATGTGACGTAATCTACTTCTTTATTTTTTATATTGGGTTTCTTGTATTTTTCATTTTCCACAATAATAAGATTTAGCGTTATTTTAAGTCACAAGTTTTGTTGTACGTGAACACGTAACATAACGTTTCCATATGAAGTAATTTATATATTGAAGTCATTACTCCTGATATTTTTTTTTTCCTTATATTGTTTCCATGTTTATAGAAAACAAAATAGTGTCTAGAAATCAGTTTTTATTTTTGTAGGATATATATACATGTATATATATATATATATGTATATATATTAACATAACAATCATTTTAAAAATTAGGGTAAAATAAAAAGTGAAACAAACTGAAAAGTTGAGAGTTTTCGCAAGCACAAGCTTCGGAGTAGGTTCATTTAACAGTGATTTTAAGAAATTTTGTCTATCAGAACTTTTTTTTTTTCAATTACTCAAATAATATAATATAAGTTTTATTTATCTATATAACATATTTTTTTAAGTTGAGAATTCAATTTTTTAGTACACGAAATTATTGTATGTTTTTTTTAAACTATTTAGAATTCAGTTGTTACGCAACCGAATTTTAAATGATTTTTTTATTTTAATTTATTTTATTAAAATATATATATATATATATATATATATATATATATATATAATATTATAATATTTTATTTAAAATTTATAGTTTTAAATTATAATTTTAAAAAGATTTATATATTTATTAGATTAATAATATATTTAAATTTATTATTGAAAGTAGTATAATAATACCTTTAAAATATATTATTAAATATTATATTTATATTTTATTTGTATGGTTACTTTTTTTAATTCTATGATTTATTTGATATTGTAATATTTAAAAAAAATTAATAATAAATTAGGAGGATAATAAAAAATTTTAAAATTATATGTATATAATATGAAATAATATTTTTATGTAAAATTATATATTTAAAATGTATTTTTTTTTGTGTTTTGTAATATTTTGGAAGATATATATATATATATATATATATATAATTTTAGAAATGAAAATAAGTTATAGATAGAAAAAATAATGTATTAATATTTCTGAAATCCTTAGTACATTACATAAACAATTTGTGAGTAAAAAATATATGTAAAATTATAACTTTTTATTTAAAATTTGTGTAGTTTGAAATTATAGTTTTAAAAAGAGTTATATATTTATTAGATTAACAATATATTTATATTTATGGTTCAGTGTTGTAAAATAATATTGTTTTAAATGTATTATTAAATTTATTAAAAACATTAAATAATAGGAGTTGGAGAAATAAATTAATTAAGAAGTATAAAACATTGAAGTGTATTTTTTAATAGTGTTTATTAAGTTTAATCGTACTAAGTTTAACCACAATTTATGATATATATTAGTCTTTTTGATGTTGTGTAATATTGTTAGTCTTACTATGTTTGTGTGTTGTAACATTTTTGGAAATAAAGTTGTGTTACTTTTAAGATTTTTATAATTTGTTAAATTCATATTAATGTCTTAAAAAATTCAGTTATTATCTTTATTGTTTGGAATATTACAAGAAAACATGATTATCTCATTTTTATCACACTCTTGGAATACTACCAGAAAATATGATTATCTTATTTTTATCAAACTCACAACGCCCTCATAAGTTCCAAAAAGTCACACTCCTATTATAGATTTTAGCTCTCTTAAGTTACTATTATATGGTTAAAGAATAATTTATAGTAAAAATAGGTTTAGACTAAATGAAATATATATTTAAAATGTAAAAGAAAAAAAATTTAGATGTAAGTGAATATAAATTTTATTGAATGGATGAAAGAAAAAAAAATTAAGATGTAAGTGAATATAATTTTTATTGAATGGATGAAAGAAAAAAAAATGTAAGTGAATATAATTTTTATTGAATGGATGAAATATAGTACAAAAGTTTAATATAATTAATGATGAGATATGGATCCTCTAATATCAGGGGTGTGAGGACAATAATTTATTGTGTGCCCTGGTGTTTTACAGTATGAGCACTTTCGTGGGTGTCCTCCTTCTCTGATGTCCATCTTAGTCCTGAATCTAGTTGATTTTGGCCGACCTTTTGAACTCCTTCTCGTGGTTAGATTTGGCGAAACTTGTGGGTCTTCATATGATGTCAATATTGTTCATGTCTTAGCTCCCCAAACATATGGTCATACACTTTCATGACGACATCCAACCTATAGTGGGAACTGATGTACATGTTGAAGTCATGATGAACATGTTTGCAAGCTGCTAACACATGAGAACACGATATATGAATTTTTTGAAACTTCCCACAATCACACCATCGTTCATCCAACCTAACAACAAATGTATCCGGATGACGTATTTCTCTTGGGTTGACAATTTCCTCCACCCTGAATCTTGTCGTATTTCTATCAAATTCAACCACCTTGTGGGTATTTGATTTTAAATCACCATCTTGTAGGACCTTGGTGGCATTTTCAGAATAGACATGACATACACTTATCATTGCAGTTACGTGTTTCCCTCTTTCTGTGAAGAAGGTGTTGCATTTGGCATATATGGTCAATACTATGGAGGATATTGGTAGATTTATTGTTTTCATCAAAACTGAGTTGATAGCTTCGACCAGATTAGTTGTGAGGTGACCCTATCTTCTTCCTTCATCATACGCAAATACCCATTAATATCTTGGAATTTGGTCAATCCAAGTTGCTGCTTTCGGGTTCTTTTCCCTTATGAGATTGTAGTAATAGTTACATCTTGACTCAGTCATTGCATATGCTGCAAATATAATTATAGAGTAATACTCATTAAATATAACAAAGAAAAATGGAAGATCACACATAATTGAATAAAATTTTGGAATTTTAAGTACGTACCAATGTTTACAAGGTACTTCTTAAGAGTTGTATTTTTGAATCTTCGAGTGAAATTTTGTGCAATGTGTCGAATGCAAAACACATGCACACAATTTCCTTGAGTCATTCCACTTCTCCATCTATTAAATGCTACACTGATGAAGCTATGACGATCTAAAATTAAGCACATGTTTTCTTGAGGTGTAACGTGCCTCCTAAGGTTTTTAAGGAAAAAAAACCAAGTTTGTGCTGTTTCACCTTCAATAGTAGCAAAACCAATAGAGAATATGTTATTCCTCCCATCTTGTGCTACAACCACTATAAGAGTGCCCTTATATCTCCCGTAGAGAAAAGTTTCGTCCACTTGCACTAACGGTTTGCAATAGAGAAATCCATTAACACATGGTTTGAAGGTCCAAAATACTCTTTTGAAATATTTTTCATTTTACAGGACCTCCTTGCCATCAGTTATGACCTGAGTTTTGAGTTGGTATACGAAATCAGGAATAAATATTTGCATTGCTTGTAGTACCCGTGACAATTTGTTGAATGAGTCTTTCCAAATTCTGTACACATGTTCAATTGCTTGTTGTTTGGCCAACCAAGCCTTTTCATACGTTGTTGTGTAACCCAGTGAGGTCTTGATAAGCAATGATTGTTGCAATTGGTGTTGATGAGTTAGATTCGACCATCTCACAAATGTGTTAGGAAATGATACGTGACTCCAACCTGTAATGATCTTGTGTAATGAGTTGTATGACACATGTGTAAGACCCTTCAATTTTTCTTATTTCACATACTTGATCTCTTGTTTTAAGGATGACTTGATACTTCCACAAACATTGATGGTTGACACATTGCACCCTCGACCTTGTTGTGTTGGAGTGTGTCGTTTCGTATGTGCAATGCTTTGCGATATGAAATGTATTTAAAGCATCTATGACTTGTTCCTTGGTTTGGAATCTCATTTCCTGGGTTAATATACTAAGTTCATGCTCGAATGTATCATGTTGAATATTAAAGTGGTCGTATGCACGAGGATATTGTTGGGAAATTCTTCATACGACTTGAAGTGTGGGGGCGAGTTGTATTGAAGAGATAAATGAGGTTGTTGTTGTATAGGAGGAATATTCATGTTTTCTTCTTCATCATCTGCGTGCTTGGCTAAGGATGTAACGTCATTTTTTTTCTAATTTATTTAATTTCTCAAAAATGGGAATATTTTTTTTTTACAATATTATTTCTTTATGACAATGAACTTTAAAATTGGTCATGCGTGAATAAATATATATAAATAAGGTATCGAACATGTTCATACATAACATTCATAATCATAATACATTGTTTTTCAAAATAACTAATCCAACAAGGATCATATTATAATTACATAAAGTTGGTACCCTTAAACGATTAGAACTTAATTTAAATTTATACATCTCAAAATAAAGCAAATCCTAATCGGAAGCAGGTACCCAAAATTCCTAACTTTCTTATACAAGATCATACCCCTCCCGGAGGGCAGCATTCTTCCATACATATGTATATGATACTCAATCAAACTGTGGTTCCTCCACCACAATTGTTCCATCATCACCTGAAATATAACAGTAAGGATGAGTTTCCTTTTCTCATCACTCCAGAACACTAAACCGAAAATTTTTCCAACTTCTACAATCTAAAACCATATGTAACATTTATAGTCAAACATTTCATTTTTTTTCAATAAAGTATCCCACACAGAAATTTCAAACAATTTCCACAAATCACATTACTCAAACTAAAAACACACAATACATGTTTGTGTTTCATTCGTTCATTTTTGCCACATTTGAAATATTCATGCACCTAGGATACACTATCAATCCCATCTTTCAATCCATGAAAGGATCACACATAAGTACAAACAACTCTCACAAATATAACAAAATTACACACGAGCATAAATGGCTCACAGAAGTATAGATAGTTGCCGGTTGATCTGCGCATCACAGATACAATGCTTACGCATAACGATCCCTTGGCAAAAAGACAAAGTCAAAGAGTCAAGTCGGGAGTATAGAGCGTGGCCAAACAATGCACTCTATATTTCCCCAAGATCAATCTGATCTTCTCTTATCTCCTAAGCCCCCGGTGTATCTCCGTACCATCCACACACATATCTCGTCACTGAGTGACACCACCAACTCTTTAACAACAATATATTTGGTAAGAACAAACTCTACATCATACAGACCATATCACTATAGACATAATACCATATTTTTAGATGACCAACATCTCTGACTTAGACTCAGCACATAGTACAAACAACTTATAGACATGATTCCCACTAACTACCATGATTATGAATGCATTAACTATTCATAACATTTTTTTATACCATTCTTATTAAGCTTTATTTATTTTTCATCAATTTCAAAAATTTGACAGAGTCTCCTTTGTAATTTGGACATTTCCCAATTTACAAATACATTCAAATCAAATTTATAAACACATTTTCCTGCATCAAACAAGAACAATAAAAATTTGCCAAGAGTCGGACACTCTCGGACTCAGCACACA